CAGCAGGATTCATGGGAATCAATTGTACAACAGGTACTTTTGTTCATGTGAATAACATTCTGGAATCATTCATAAGCGAATATTTTAACTAAGAGAGACCCCCAAAATACATCATCTTGAAAGAAAAATGTATAAAACATATTCGTTTAAAAACGGATTACTCATAAATTTACATGTTATCGTATATTTCAACAGTTCTTCACATGTCTATTTCGGCAGATACATTTATTTTTCATGGACGGGGTTTTTACTCTCCAACACTTGACATATTTTATATTCTCTTGCGTAAGTGAAGGTTACGAGAAAAGAGATGAAAGAAAACAAATCAACCTTGACGCAGCTTTCATTATTAGCCACGGCAAAAACTGAATACGAAAGACATGAGTGACGGAGAAGGCATATTTATATGTGTAGTAATGAAAGGGTTAAACCATTTGATTCTCAAGACTAAAATAGAGGTTGCTCCATGTGTGACCTTGCAACTCATGTGATGAGAACAGGTATTCGTTTACAAAGAAGTGCTTTGCAAAGGACAATTAGTCTTCTTGTCAAGTACCTACTTAGGCGTTAAGAGGGACCTCGATTATGGCATTTCCTCGCGATTTAATTTGGTCTGCCTTATATTTCTTGAAACCTGAACTTAAAATAAGTATATCTTGAATAGAGAATTCGAGAATAATGTTATGAGTGCGTATCAAGAAACATGGTAACATAATAATACTATGAATTAGAAACCTCTATGAGGATGAAAGAGATTCCAAAATGGGAAATACTCTGCCACTTAAAATATCACTTTTGTCATCTTTTAACAAGTGGTGCTTGATTGAAGGTGAAGGTATTTTAGTTTTTTATATTCTGTCATCACGTAGATGAACAAAAATAATGATATTCTTTTCCGAGGGGCAGTATTTCCTTCATCCGTGTTTCGAAAAGACGCACACAAACAAACAAGCGAAAAATAATTGGGTTTTTTAATAGTCAACATTTTTGTACATGTATTCTAATTATGAGGAAGAGCTGGAAAGCCAGCGACTCTTTTCCGTATCAATTTATTTAAGATATCATTAATGTGCAAGCACGTAGCCCCTAAACATTGTGCTCGATCAGAAGGAAGGAATACCAAATTCGTAATATTCCACATTATGAAGGATGGTGCTTCCCCATGCTACTTTCTAGTTAGGAGCTACACAAATTTGTCCTACGTAAGCATTTGCCTAGCCGAATCATGTTAGGGAAAAATGTTAGGGCATGTACAACAGTTCTTCGCTTTAAAATCCATGTACTATAATAATTACATTAAAATCCTTCGAAGCGGTCCCGCTTGGATTAAATTGATGAAAAAAGAGGGATTTACAAACGGATGTATGTAGAAACCACCTTATTAGAACTGGGTAACTGGGTAATTTATTCGACAGTGTACTTCAATTGAACAGATGATACAAAAATAAATGTACTCGTTAGTATATTCACATCAGATACATCTAACTAAAACGTATAAAAGACGTTCTAATGGGAGCTAATTGAAAAAACGGATTAGCGGAACCAAATCTATTAAGCATTCAAAACGCACCCTGGATACCTCATTGACTCATTTATTTAAGATTTGTTTGAATTCATTCTCGAAACTTAATATCAAGGCAACGATTACATCGACATACCTTGGGTTCTTGTTCCTGCCCAGGCGCGCCGGAAGCAGTTTGGGATTGGGGGGGCAAACATTCCAGGGGGCTCACCTTCCGAGGGCAGTGACGTAATGAGAAAAAACGTTCGGAAGGGGGGGGGGGGCAGACGAAAAATCTGCATCACCACCAGTCTTACACGTTACATGCAGGTCCCGCGGAACGTTTTTCAAAGTGAAGTATTAACGATCAGGTAGAGCGTAAATTGGCGTGGGGTCCAGCCTCGGCAGGGTGTCAAGGGGCTGAGCCCCGGAAGCTCAGGGATTTTAGGTATTTAATTACGGTTAGATGAGCATCCAGGGGCCTCTTTAAGGCCATTGACGTGTTCCAGAGGGGGGGGGGGGGAGCCCCCAGAAGCTCAGAGGTTTTAATATTTAACTACGGTCAGATGAGCAACCAGGGGCCGCCCTAGGGCCCTTGGTGGGGTCCAGGGGGCAGGGCCCCCGGAAGCTCAGGGGTTTTAGGTATTTAATAATGGTCAGATGAGCATCCAGGGGCCCGCCTTATAGGGCCCTTGGTGGGGTCCAGGGGGCAGAGCCCCGGAAGCTCAGAGGTTTTAGGTATTTAATTACGGTCAGATGAGCATCCAGGGGCCCCCCTTAGAGCCCTTGGTGGGGTCCAGGGGGCAGAGCCCCCGGAAGCTCAGGGGTTTTAGGTATTTAATTACGGTCAGATGAGCATCCAGGGGCCCGCCTTAGGGCCCTTGGTGGGGTCCGGGGGCGGAGCACCCGTAAGCTCTGGGTTTTAGGCATTTAATTACGTTCAGATGAGCATTTTTTATATCTTATTTGTGACATTGGCAGGTCACTTATTTTTTCTCTCCGTCTTTCTTTCTTTTTCTCTTTAACATACTTTTTCAAAAAGTGAGGGGGGAGGGGCTCGAGCCCAGCCACTTTGCAGACCATGACATAAAGGCTTCTAAATAAGCGTATTTTTCGCCCGACTGTAATTTGGGAATTTCTTATTTTCCAACAAACGCATAAAAAGGTATGACTTTAAAAAAAATGGAGAAAAAATACCGGAAAATCATGTCATAACAGCAACATTTGTAAATCACTGGTATCGTATAGATATACCCCCCCCCATCAGTACGCCAGCGTTCAGGGGCTCATGTCTTCTCACCCCTATAACAAAACCAAAAAAACAGACACGTTTTCCCATTCTCGCACAATATGTCCACGATATGCGCGTATCGCTATTATAAACCGTATAGGTAGCATGCGCAATGTTTATAAAATTTAATTCCAGCCTGTGAACTTTCCTTTTCTTTGAATGGAATGGTATATGTGCTTTAATTCAGGTTTTTATTATTGTTATGTTCTTTTGGGTTAAAAATACAAACCATGTTTATTCCTTTACTGCTTTTTTTTTTTTTTTGGAGGGGGGGGGGGGCGTTTTGGGGGGGCAAAAATGCGTTTTGCCCCCCCCACTTTTTTGACTGGGGGGGGCAACTGCCCCCCTGCCCCCCCACTTCCGGCGCCTATGTTCCTGCCCCTTAGTGTGAAATATTGATGTTTAAAAAGCGCATTAGGCCTACCTTATAATGCTGTTCCTTGTCTTCTATTACTTTATCAATCCCCATGACATTTTTTTAAAGAATGTAACCCAGGGACGTATGGAGCCAATTGTTTGCAAGAGTGCCACTGCTCTCCAAGTAACATCTGTACCAAGGATACAGGAGAATGCATTGATGGGACTGTGTGTCAAGAAGGCTGGACTGGTGTCAACTGTCAAGGTGATATTTTGTTTTAAACAGTCAGTTTTCATAGAAAGGTTTTTTTAAATTTTTACCATACATTATTATCATATAATAAACACATCACGATAAAAAGCCGAAATCCATTTCGTAGTTCATTATTTCTTGGGCTTGTCAAAGCAAAAGGCAAAACACAACAAGAACTAGGGGGAAAAAGTTACATTAAACATATTACTAGTTTTAGCCAATTTGTGGCTAGATTTGCAGTTAGTTATCATTTGACACGCATTCCCTGCTTTTGTCTATTATGCTGAGTTGACCAATGGAGTTCGTTCTCCAATCCATGCAGACTTTAATCTCGATCAAATTTGATTTTGTCATTTATATCAAACATGAACATAGGTGCCCCAAAGGTCACATATGATCATTAGCAGTTCCTCTTAAACTCAGCTATGTACATTCAGTACATCATTTATAGAGAACCATCTTATTGTCTTGTGAAATATTTTGTATGTTAATGCCCATGCAATCGAAGCGTTCTTGGTGTTATAGATTGTTTTTGCACAACAGTAATTGAAAAACAAGATATCGCCTCGCTCGGAATGGTGCTATATAATGTGTAGAATAATATTGCTAATACGATCAAATAGTCTGCTCTCGTGTGTCTTGATATTTAATCGTAACTACACTTGAAGGTGAACCTTTGAGAGCCGGATATTTAGTATTAAGATTAAGATTTCCGCACATCAATTGTTAAACAAACTGGAAGTACTTCTATAATATTATGAAGTACGTGCTCTCCAGTTAAAAGCTATATTTTAAAAGCACTATATTTTGAAAAGTTATTGTTTTTCCTATAGTGGTAAATTTGAACCCTGTTTATTATTGTTTTCCTAATCTTTTTACAGTTCGAACTTCCCCCATTGAGGAGGTTGATGGTGATACACGTAAGCTCACATGGGCTTATAGTTCAACATAAGAATAAAGGCGTGTTAAGATATGAGGCATAAAACCTCAACGGTTACAACGTGTAAATGGCTCTCATTTGCGAGCAACAAATAATAATAATAATATTGATAATAATAATAAAAAGAAATATATAGATTAAAAACACCACTACTACTACTACTACTAGAAGTAGTAGAAGTAGTACCACTACTACTGCAACTGATAGTAATAATAATAGTAACAATATCTGGCATTTGTATTGCGCCATCTATCTATAGAACTTCTATTCTGAGGCGCACAGTTAAAATAACCACCACATAACCACCACAAGGATAAATAGATAAGAATAAGTGTCTGAATAACAGATGCACTGCGCATACTGAGCTCTCTGGGAATTGTATTACACTTTACGTCATCACAAAAAAAAAATTGCAGCAGTTTACCGCTAAATATCTGAATGAATTATTTAAACAAATATATATATGAGGCATTACCATCTCTGTTGTGATAGAAATAGATTGATACGTTTTTAAGGGGATTTAAATGGAAACTAAAAATATAACTGCCCTGCGGAATTCCTACTTGCCATTAGAATACCAAGATCTCTATGATTATATTATATAAACAAGTATAAGCCTGTGTGAGTTAGTGTTATGTGCGTGCGTGCGCGTGTGAGGCGTACAATCTCATATGTTAACAATGTTTTCTCTTCTCCTTATCTACATATTCAGCGATTCCTGGTACGAAATCGGCAAGTTCTGGTTTTACTTCTTCAACCATCCCCATTGTTGAAGCTACAACTCAAGCTTCTACCAGTGCTACCACTCCTGCCACCCCTCCCATCCCTCCTCAGCTTGTTCCTTCTTACGCCATATCAAGCTTCAACTACACCAAGGTTAACAATGGCGAACCTACAACATTGGTTTGTGTCGTGACAGGATCACCTCTACCGACCTCTGAAAACATCACAGTCACCGATGCAGCCGGTGCACATGAAGGGATTGTCCTTGTGGAGACCAATGTCACTGAATCAACCAGGACATCCGCGTATCGGGTTAGGGTGAGTCTGGATGAGATACCTCAGAACTTCACGTGTCTTTTGCGCAGACCGGACGGGGAAAGTGTCTCGAAAGATCTGACTGTCTCTGTTTATGGTAAGTAATTCTGAACCACAATAGCACTTTTTTTTTAAGACGATAAACTGACAAGAGCTACGCGTCCTTTATGAACATTCTATGTTAATGCGATTAGAATCTTAGTAGTTTATTTTTTTTTAATTGCATTTAAGTATAAGTGCCTTGTACATCTATATGAATATCACAAATAATGAATACAGATAATTAATACGATTTGTTACTTTTTTATATTGCCTTTTTTGTCTATCAAAGTCTATTGCAGGGCTTCCATATGTTATTATGATAGATCTATATGTGGAAGTGTAATTTTTTTTGGGATGCCTTTAAAAAAAAAACCATGTGCGGAGGCCTTGCGTTCGATCGCAGGCACAGCACCGAATTGAAGCAAAACCACTCCGTACCCATTGCAGAAAGAAATACGGACCTAGTGGAACGACGAAAAACAAGTTACCCCTAATGCTAAATTCCCTTCGCCATGCTCACGCTCCTCCATGTATCAGATGATGGGTAAATGTCTGTGAAGCGTTTAGTGACGTAATTTTCAATCAATACTCAGTGATATCTCACATCGCAATATGTATAGGGAAAAAGTCCGTGGGCCTAGTATGGATGAACTTGACAGTTTGTACCTTTCTGAAATACTCCCAGAGAAAAAGAGAAATTAAAAAAAAAAAATCACTTTTTGATATACCATGTAGATACAAAATGTCAGAAACTTGAATAAGACTTGGAAACAATTTATCTGTTTCATTTTTCTTTTGTCATTATTGTTTTTTGTTTTTTGTTTAAAGATCATTTCCATATGTTGGTGCGAGGTGTGTTGAGATATAAAAAACCTATGTCAGTAATACAATTTCCCAGTAACAACCATTAATTGTTCTTAATGTCAATTTTTGTTGATGGTTTCATAGAACTTCGTCTACAATTACATTTTCGTTCAGAACCTCTAAGCTTTGTTGAATGTAACATACTGGTCCAAGAGATGACATCTCACTCGATCACCTTACGCTGGACACCTTGGAATGAGACTTATGATCATGGTGATGGGCCAGTGATTGGATATCGAGTCTACTACAACACACCCGGACAGGATGACATAGCTAGGGCTTCAAGAGATCTCCTCAGAGAAACAACTTTCGCCGTCACTAATTTGACACGGGACACAGAGTATGATTTCAGAGTGACTGCTTCTAGAGAGGGGCGAGCGGGAGAGGGGATGTACAGCTCAGCAGAAAGAGCTAGGACAAAGTGTACTGGTAAGTAGACTTTAATCATGACAACTAATAGGGGTGGATCATCAACGTCATTTTAACGGCCGCAGTCGGGATGGAGTATTAACGCTTTCTAACTGAAGATTGAGATTAAGGGAATTTATATCATTTAAAATTGTTGGTGGCTAAAGTAAGTTAAATGAGTTTAATTTATCTGTTGTCATTTTTTTTTACCGTTGTTGAAAACAAAAGCACTTAACCAAACATGTACCTTACAGGTTCCGCCCATTTTTAATCCTCGAGCTGAAGATTTATAAATAATAGCAAATATAGTCACGATATTATCATAATTAATGATAAATCTGATAAAAGTAAGAGTATAGTTAATTAAAAATTATGATTGCTTTTCTTCTCCTGACCATTAGGACATAAACAGTAATCATTTGACGTCCCAAAGACGTATATATTGCATTGCATTCTTTAAAAAATTCTATTTTTAAATTTCCCGCTCTCAAATGTGAGGCTGGTAAATATGGACTCACCGTAGTAAATTCACATTGTAGGCAAAATAATTTGTAGACATACACTATTCACCTAATGTGAATATTATATTGGTAGTTGTTTTAACCACCAACTCAATTACAACCAAAACAACTTAATAGTCTTCATTTTTTTTGTAATTCCCTTTTTCAGCACCTTCTGAGGCGCCTGTTCTGTCTGTGAGAAACAAAGGTCTAACAACCATCACTTTGGATTGGGAGGTGAGCTAAAAGGATTTCATTGCATTTGATTTTATTATTATTAACTATTAAGAAACACAGTTCAGTTCAATTAACTTAATATCAATAATAACAGTTCGCTAAGTTGGGAGATGAACTACAAAGGGTTTGAATTTTCAGTATGAGCGCTTATAAACAGACCCAACTACCGCAATTTAAAATACACAATGGTACACATTACTAAAAGTCCACTCGAAGTATCATTTTGTACGTTAATTAGTTTGGATAAAGCGTTTCGTATGTTTACTCCGTATAAATATATTGAAAATGTTAGGTTTGACGGTGAATATGGCGAACTTAATATTTGCACATTAGTAAAATGGGTGAATTCTTCTCGTTTGTCATATTTATACTAATAATAGGTAATACCAGAGGAATCATGGGGATGCAGTGCCCTTTCTGGATTAGAAATCAATGTTAGCACCAATGGACAGAATGGCTTTCCTCGAACCTTGTCATTCAATACTACGCCGAGTACTGCTAACATTGAACAGCTAGTGGATTGTACTACGTATAACATCAACGCAGCATTTAGAAACAAAGACGAGTTAGGGATCTCTTCAGAAATATTGTCAGTGAGCACGTATTTGATACGTAAGAATATCTGTTTTCTAATTGTATGTTTAGTGCGTTGAGTTTTACAATATTGACCCTTTGGTTGTATTACATTCACAATACCTCATATCTTATATCTTGACGGATGAAAGAAAATTTACCATAAAGACTATATCACAACGCTAAAAGTGAAATGTATAGTCATTGATTCAATGAACCCAGGTCTGTCATGCGAGGGAATTTCAGGAGTACATGGTAGCCAAATATGGACTAGATGGCATCATTACTGGTACGTTTACCGATCTTAAATATGTTCTTAAATATTCTTTCAGTTTGCAAATTGCAAGTTCAGTTATATTTCACTTTTATTTCTAGGACCCGCAGGTGTAGAAGCCTTACAGATGTCACCTTCAACCACACAAATTGAAGTGAGCTGGGAACCGTCATCTAGTCAATGCTCCCCTGACTACTATATCATGCGCTACAGTCTCCTTCAAAAGCTTGCCTGCCAATCACCAGAATCCATCCCAACAGAGTTTGAAGTTAACACCACCTCTACACAACTCAATAATCATAATCTAGTGGGGTTGGAGCCTTACTCGCGATACAAGATCTCAGTTACAGCTGTAAATGGTGCCATGCAGAGTGAACCCACGATCGGCTATTCAGATACCGGGCCAGGACGTGAGTAATGAACACATAAGCAAAATATCTTTCCCCCATAACAGTATCAAGAAATGTACAAGGTGATACATTTTGTTATCCGTGTTATGATTATGAATATGGGATATAATATACAGAAACAAAGTTGCTATATGTCCAAAGCTCGTCACGTGATATCGATTGTAAGGATCGTAATAAAGATATACTCCCAGTCATGAAAAGATAACCCCTTGAAAAATATAACTCCTTTGTATGTATCATACACCTTACCAGTCAAATCTCTATTAGATTCCCTGCATATAACATACGCATTGATCTAAAAAATATAGTTTTCAATAATTTTGCTTTAACTAATTATGAATGGTACAGTTTGGTTGCGATGTATGTTTCCTTCAATCGTCACGCTAGCCTAAGCTTACTACGTAAACGAATTACACGTCAAGTTTTAACTGATTTAGGTACCTTCTCTTATATTTCTGCTTCGCTTTAGCACCGTCCAACATTACAAATGTCAGGGTTAATCCAGAAAGGACGTCTCCAACACGATTAGGATTCACTTGGCAACCTTTCAACTGCAGAAATGTGAATGGAGTGTTCTGGTACTACCATGCAAGAATCTACAAGAATAGTGGTAGAAATAATTTGAATTTGAATTTGAATTTGAATTTATCAACAACAACACATCACAATAATGACAGTACATATGAACAATCATACAATGCAAAAAATAATACTGATACATGTATACATAATATAAGAGTAATGTCGATTGAACAGTAATGGTTTAAAAACGATATTTAGACATGCATCTACATACTATTACGTAAACATGTGTATTACTATATTTAGGTGAAGTTGTTAATGGGAACTAGAAGTTAGCACAAGTGCTAGTCGAGCCTAGTTCCATTCTTCGGCAAGATTTTTTTCTGTTAATTTGTTTATACATGTGAATGTAAAACTTGTTTGTTCTGTATTTACATATATACAACAAAATAATACAGTATCATGTAACTTTTTTGTAAATACTAAAATGAAAAAAGAAAAAGAAAAAAGTTTAAGTGTTAAAGCATTATAATGAAAGGAAACAAATCTTTGAACAAATAAAATCATCAATGTGTTCATAAAAATGCAAAGGATGTATTAATGAAAATAATATCATATAGATGTGCGTACATGTACATGCACAAATCCTGCAAAAGCTTAAGGCACCTATAATCGTTAACAAGCAAGTGTACACATATATAAAAGGAAGACAAGTAAAATAAAAGGAAAAACGAAGGGGTAGGGATTGAGCCCACGTCATTTACATAGAAGGTAGGTGGAAAGATGTCTCCGAAAAGATAACCTCGATGTTTTTAATCTAATTTCATCTGGGAGATCATTCCACAGCCTTGTTCCTACAAACGAAATATAAAATTGCCCTCGCGTTGTCTTACATTTTGGTTGATAGAGTAAGCCACTTTCTTTCTCCTAGTTGGATATGTGTGCTGTGATGGATATGATCAGAGGATATACTTGGATGATGACATGTCATACTCATCAATAGAGTTCAATGGTCTTGAGGCATGCACCATGTATGCACTGAATATCAATGCCGTCAACCAGGCTCCGTGGAATTCTGGAAATGTGTCTTATGCTATCGGTGTAACAGAAGTAACTTGTAAGTGTACAAAAAAGTACCAAGAAATTCCATTTTTAGAATCACCTTCGGGAAGTCACATTGCCCTATTTTGTGAACATATTCCAAGTATTCCGTTCCAAAACTGCATAGTTAAATCCAGGCACGTACGCAGGGGGGGGGGGGGGGGGGGGGGGGGTCGAACCCCCCTCAATTTTTTGTATGTGTTTGTTTTGGAGGAAACCCCCCCCATCGATTTTTAAAAAAAATAAAAATGTGCTCTTACCCTCCCCCCCCCTCCGCTTATTCACCGTCTGATTGAGTCGTTGCGAAATTTTTCCTCAAATCCTGGAACAAAAAATAAATATGTTTGCCCTTACGCCTCACCCCCCCCCTCGCTTGTTCAGCGGCTGGTTAAGTCGTTGCGAAATTTTCGGCGCGATTTTCACATGTTAACCACCCCCCCCCCCCACTTGAAAAAATCCTGCGTACGCCCCTGGTACGCCCACATTCTTTAAGTGATACCAAGGTTTATTTATCATTAAGTCCATACACATGTACGACATAATATTGCACATTCAAGGATCATGTGTTTGAGACATTGAAGGGTTTTCAGGTAGAGATTACTAAATTGTCCCCGTTACACAGTGTCGTTTTTACAATGTTTACAGATTTTCTAATATATTTTTTTAGCATTTTACCTATTTTCTAGGAATTTTCATAAAGAATAGTACGGGGCGGGGATTCTTAACTGAATATGTAATCCTCTTTTTATTCAATATTTAGATACGTCATGCATTATAATTGTATTAATAATTGTTACAATCAACTTTGGTTCACAAATCGACCCTGTATTGACAAGGGAGCGTATGATTATCATAACAAAGGGTCCAGGTAAAATGATTAGAAAATAAAAAACAGATAAAATCTGTTTCTTGTATCATGCTTTTGTCCTTCGCATTATGATATCTTAAAGGCGCGCGAATACAAATAACCCAGCTATAATAATAATTATATTAATAGTGGTTTCTTGTATAGCGCTCATGTCTGTCAGACTTGACACTCCTGGCGCTCTATAGACAGGCTTCCAATTCTTAGACTTACTCTAAATCAAGGAAATCCTGTCTGTTGGAAAGCGGTTATCACATTCTTTAACTTAAAAAAAGAAATAGGTAAAAAAAACATGTTCAATGTTTACACAGGTAGAAACACTCAGCTTCATCTTTTGCTACAGAGAAAATTAAGTTCGGAAGTCCATGACTATGTAATACGATGCAGTTATACGACTAAGAGGCGGGTCTCTTTGTTATGTTGATTGGTTGGTGTAATACCTTTATAGAATACAAACCGCTCTCCTATTGTTGAATATAGTCACAAGTGCATCCGCATTTGCAACTGGGAATCAACCCAGTCTGACAGTTCAGTGGAGTGTTCCGTCTCAATGCGATGTGGATTACTACAGGGTATCATATCAACTCATCTCACGTAACGCATGTCAAGATGTTCCTGTAATAGATGCTCTAGTCTACGAACTCAACGTCACATCAGGTACCTCATATGTCTCCAAAATCATTTCAAACTTGGAATATTACGCCACTTATAACATCTCCATCATAGCTGTGAAAAGGAGAGCAGAGAGCCTACCCATGATTGTTAATGGAGACACACTAGATGGAGGTATAGTATACAAAATGATGCATGTGCATGAGTTCATTATACGATCTATCCGCACTCGAGTTGAGGCTGTGTGTCTATTGCACGAAGCCGTTAGGCTGAGTGCGATAGATACACACAGCATCAACGAGGGCGGATAGATCGTATAATGAACATCTGCAAACATGCATCATTTGTTTTATACAACGAAACTCCTAGATCCTTGTTATTTGATGTAAAAAGAATTCATTCAAGATTGTTTCGTGACAGTATATGGCTGACAAATAAATCTCAAGTTTAATAAGGCTTAATTTAGTGCAAAGTACTAATTTAGTACTAAGCGCTCTAACCTCTACACGCACTACTGCGCTCTGAAAACGAGTTCAATAGTACTGGAAAATATTGCACTCCTTTTCATGAAAACGAGTGCAATGGGCTTAGTAAATGAATCACACGTGACCGCGCATGACCAATCATTTGATTAGGATCTGGGAGTGAGTTGTATAAAAACAAATATGATTATACTAGCTTTTACGTATCTACCAAGGGGAGGGGGCACAGGGGCACTAGCTACGGGTGGCTCTTGAAGGGAGCGCCAAACAAACAAAAACACGCGACAGAGAGGGGCGCAGGAAAAGAAAACTCAAACCAAAAATAGAAAGGGGATAAAGGAAAGACAAATAGATTCTAATATGAACCTTAAATTTTCAGATTGAATTACAATGAATATAAGGCTTTTTTTTTAATTCAGGTATTTAAATGCGAAAGTTATGAAGCTCGGTCGCTTTGCTCATCGCGTAATATGTTCTGTCAGGATCCTGAAATCTCACGTCTCATTATAGTTATTTATTATTTCAGTTATTTGCAACGGTTCATCAATTGAAAGAAATCTCAATCTTTTCCGGATTTTTTGTTTGCACCGAGCACCATAATGCTAGATACTCCACGAAAAACACGATTTTGTAACGCATGACATGACAAGCAAGTCCACTTAATAATTCACGTGTCGAATCAATCGCTTGTTCTGGTATATGTCTATCTTCTGTGGTGTTCTGTAGGCCTGGAAAGACAAAGGACCTACTATTTGTGTTGTATTGGTCGTTATAACAGAGATTCTTGCATGACCCTTACGATGAGATTATAAGTTATCTCTCTCTAAGTGCCATATCGTTTGACTTTGGCGATCATGCTCTTCCACAACCCTCGGCTCCTAGCCTTCTGTATTAGCACCACTCCCAGTTCTTTCACTCCTCTCTCTACTAACAATTTTTGCAGACTGTCCATCCAAAGTATCCTCTTTCTTCCCCTTCTCCTTCTTCCCACAATTTTCCCTGTCAAAGCAAGATTATCTAGGCCTTCTTTACGAGTAATGTGACCCATGAACTTCAACTGCCTAATCAACATCTCATGTATCATTTTCCTTTGCACTCCAGCTCGTGTAAGAAATTCCTCATTAATAACTTTGTCAGTCCAGGGGATTTTCATCATTCTTCTTAAAAAACACATTTCGCAACTTTCCAAACGCTTTTTAGTATCAGAGGCTAAAGTCCATGTTTCACTACCATACATAAGTACTGGGTAGATGTAACGATAAAATACTCTTATTCTGGTCATCATACTCATTGTTCGATTTGTCAGAATGTTGACTAACTTTGAAAATGCAGATTTAGCGAGAGCTATCCTTCTCTTGATCTCTGTCTCACACCTGGCATCCTCGTTGATCATGCTGCCGAGGTAGTTAAATGAGGAGACTTGTTTAATAATCTGTTCTTTCAGTTTCAAGTTACATTTAGGACTGCTCTTTTTGGTTATAAGAGAAATATTGTCACTTTAAGCCCCAGTCCCATATAAAGCCGGACCAGCACGGACGAGCACGGACCACTCCGGACCATCTCGGACCATGGTCTGGGGTGATCCGGGATGGTCCGGGATGTTTTGTTAAAAAAATCGCAACCGACGACCGTCTCCCCGGACCCAACACGGTACGACTACGGACCGCCCCGGACCGTCCGGGCATAGCCCCGGCAGCAGTACAGATCATTCCAGACCCAGCACGGAGCCGCCACGGACCGTCCCGGACCACCCCGGTGCCACCCCGGTGCCAACACGGATGACACCGGACCATCCCGGTGCCAACACGGATCATCCGGGGTGATCCGTGTAGCCACCGTGCTGGGTCCGGGATCATCCGTAGGAGCGCCGGGGTGATCCGGGGTCAATAACTCACTCCCGGACTGCCACGGATCAACACGGACCGCCCCGGCGCCACTACGGATGACCCCGGACCCAGCACGGTGGCTACACGGATCACCCCGGATCAAACTATTGTCCCGGACCGTCCCGGACCACCCCGGCAGTTTTTGACCGTCAAAAACATCCGGGGTCGACTCCCGGACCGCCCAGGACCATCCAGGACCATCCAGGACCACCCCGGTGCCAACACGGTGTCAATACGGACCGAATCCCGGATCACCCCGGATGGGGTCCGGGATGGTCCGGGACGGTCCGGGACGGTCCGGGACGTATATGGGACTGTAACTTAACGTAGTGATTTACTTTATTTCTTGTGTAAGTAAGTACACCCAAAATTTACCCAAGATTTACCCCTTATATCTTGTTACATCTGCTATATTGTTAATTGACTATTCAACTCTGTGATTTTCTTCACAGACCCCTCTGCTATCGAATCAGTGTCATACACCTCTACTGCCCACTCCTTGCGCTTTGTGTGGCAGGAACTCTCTTGTGAAAGCCTACATGGTGTTTTTGATAGCTACGAATACGATCTCTATGATCCTACTGATGGGGGTAGATATGCTCGGTATTCATCGTCCACCCGAATGAACTTTGTAAACATAACTGGTCTTGGTGCTTGCACAGAATATCGCTTCAGAATAAGAGTAGTTACTACCCAGTCGAGAAGGAGTGAATGGCATATGAAAATGGCAATGACTAATATATCAGGTTTGCGAAATGAGGTATAGGTCTACCGTACATTTGTATTAGTTATAGAGATATGAATTATGCAATTTGTCCATTGTACACATTGAACTATTAGCGACTAAAGAGTAATTATTTATAATGGATAGTATGGGGAACTGCACGTTTCGAATTCCAATTCAAATCGGTTTTAATACAGTCCATCTAGTGACGTTGCTCCAAGATAGGTAGATAGCTTTTAGTTTTAATGCTAGCCTAGTAAAGGCTCATGAACAATACAAATATAACATACATCACAGAAAACTGAATTAATTGAAGTCAATACAAATAAAGATAGATATTAGATTAAGTGTAATTAGGAGCGCCCCTATATGATGTGTATCAATTTTAGTATTTCTGTGTTTCTGAATGGTCTAGGCACCGTGCGTTAAAATACAAAGATCACTGCGCACGCAAGGCGAGTAGCCGAGAAGCCTATTTCACATCGAGCAAAGCTAGATTTCTATCCAATCGAAACCGAGCTGACCAGATTAAACGTATAAAAAAAGCAGAAATAAGAAGTTGCAACCACCCAGGGACTCCTATTAAATTGCGATACTGGTTAACTAATTATATAATTACAAATTTTTATTTTGAGTTTTCTTTATGGATAATTGTTTTTCTTTTAAAAGTAAAGATATGGCGTATTTATTTTATACTGAATGTACGCCATTAAACTATTACCAACAACATCAACAGTGTAATTACAGTGCAAATCATTATTGGGAACCTAAATTAGCCCGTATGAAATGTTTATTCCTTCCTTTCTATACACTTATCAGCTCCTGGGATACCAGTTATTACAGAGCTTACCCCGCATCAGGAAGACAGTGGCACTATTGGCCTGATAGTATCATGGCAACCTCCTTCCTCACCTCCATGCCAGCCTACGCATTATGAAATCAAGTACTATGTTCTTCAAGGCGATATGTGTGAGGATAACTCGAGGGATCGCATAATGACTTCAGCAGGGACCGTCAATGGTTCAACGTTTACCTTCAATGTCCTGGAGTTGCGTCCCAACTCTGAGTACATGGTGTTCGTGAGAGGCAGAACCAGTAGCGGTTATGGTGATTCGGATTCCCAATCAGCTATTACAGGATATTCATGTTAGTATTGTGTGTTCATGTACGTAGGAGAGGGTGAGGGTGTGTTTGGGCGGGTGAGGGTGTGTGTGAAGGCGGGTGAGGGTGTGTGTGGGGGCGGGCGAGGGTGTGTGTGGGGGCGGGTGAGGGTGTGTGTTTATGATGTGAGTATGAGGCTGTGTGTGCGGGTATGTATCAATCAGATGTATTACCTACGTCTGGGGGCAGACCTTTACCGCCACCATACAATAAAATGAAATCCCTTCCGAACTGGGGTCCGTCTGAGTCAATTGAAGGAGAAGACAGAAAGCTGACAGTACCGCTAGACCAATGTAAATCTCAATATCTACTTTATACGACGCTAGAATAACTAGGCCTTTATCTGACAAATCTGAACAGTAGGAGAACCATAATCTAAACTGGCAGCTGTAAGTATATTCGTATACGAATATACTTTGAATAAGACTTGGCAAGATTCTTTGGAGAGTATGTTCAATGAAATAAGCGTGCCTAAAAGTTCAGTTTAGAAAATAAATAAATTATTCTACAGGGGTTAGAGAATGGTCAAGAATACAAAGAAAAAGATTATGAAGTCACCGAAAATGTAGATTAGCTGTTAGTAAGGTCATGTAGATGAGGTAAAAATAAATAAAGACTTGGGAAAATGAATGAGAATGAGTTTTCCTCCTTTATTTTACAGATCCTACTGGTTCCCCAACTAATATTCAGTCCGTTCCCATCAAGAAACGCAGTATTTTCTTCTCTTGGGAGAAGCCAGAATGCGGTCATCGGAATGGACCAATCACAAGATACGAAGTTATGCTCTCCAATTCTACAGGTAACCTTAATATAAAAGAGGGAATGAATACCTGGTCGAGTCCTAAATGAGATGGAATCCCAAAAATGTCCTTGACATCTGCCCTTGACATCATCCCAGGTGGTGCTTCTTCAATTGATTAAATCTATATATTGTACTGTTTCGTTGAGGGATAACTTCATCTACAAAATGTGCAAGGCAACACCTTGACAGGTTGGATCTAAGTAGCTGACTTGCTTGCTGTTACTGAATAAAAATATGATCTAGTGTCATATTTCTTTGCAAAAAATTATCTGCTTTTTATCTTCCTCTGATAGATGTTTTACCGCTTATAGCACTGAATAGATAAATATTTTTGTTTATATAAGAAACGCGAATCAATTTATTTTTTACAATTATTTTTGGGGATGAGCGGATAGGTCATATTGCGGAATATTGTTTTGCCATTTTAATGCATTAAATGATTATGCCCTCCGTTTTCTTTAATATATCTAAGATTGTCTGAATGCAGAATCTCGATCAATAATGAATTATAGTCAGTACTGAAGTATTGCTGTAAGCTAGGGGGTAAAAATAATAAGAAAAAGATCGACTAAAGTTCAAAAAATTGATAGCAAAAATCACAATCGGCAAAGGCAAGTATTGCATCATGATATGATTCTTCTGATTTAGTCCATCAATCATACATGTAGACAAATCTGCGCAACAATTTTTATTTAATGGTTTCCATTGTTCCATTCCGCGGCCTCATTTCGAGATTTCCTTAAACAAACAATTAGTCTAGCTTTGTTTCCAATATACTAGCTTTATACTCCAAAGTAAAATTTACGCATGATGTCTTGTAAAGGTTTTTATAGTCTAATGGATAAGTCTCCGGACTGTAGACCACAAGGTACGGGGTTCAAATCCCAGCACGGCACTAAAGTACTTTAGCAAGACGTTGCATTTGCACTCTCCACTCAATTGTAAATGGATACCTGATATGCTTACGCGCTAGCTACTTTGGCGGCTCGGCTATAAGCAGGGTAATAATGTCTAAAGGCCATGAGCGTCAAAAGAGCACTTTATGAGAAGCCATTATTATTAATTTTATTATTCCTGTTGTTCATTTCCAGGAAACGTGGTTTATCATGGTAATGTGTCGGGACATGAGCACGAGATATTTGGCCTCATCCCCTATTCAAATTACAGCATTAGGATCAGGGCTTGGAATTATGAACTTGCAGGGGAGTATGGTCCAGCGATTTGGGCACAGACAGATGAAGCAAGTAGGTCTCAAAATGCATGTCTTTTAGTTCTATTTTGATAACGATGAAGAAGACAAAATAGCGTTAAGGACGAAAATTATATCTTTTAAAATATAGCTGTTCGTTAACAATGTCAACCGTGTATCTATAGAACCAGGAATATAACTCTGATAAAAATTACGTTATACTCAAAGTTGTGAAAATTTAGACTTAATCATCTACAGGAACTAATGTTATGAGAACATGTACAATTCCTTAATTTGTTTTGTTGTTACATTATTCATTCTTTTTTCGTCCACCCCTCAAACGAAAACAAAAAGAGCATAGAGAAGTTTCCCTTTTAAATAAATGGATCCCTAATTAAGTATTTATTTCCAGTTACAAATAAGACGTAATGGAGTAATCTTGAATTCTAGATTTCGTGCACCCAAAACCCTTATTGACAGCTGTCCAGAACGGGTTAGTGATTCCGAGTGTGCGTTTGTGCAATTTAGGAGTACAGTAAGACAATATTATTGCTTCAAAATATTTTGCTTCTTTCGAAGTCACAGTCAATGTAATAATCATTCAAATTTTTACATTGCTTGTTGAAATCTATCTTCCGCCAACATTCCGAGTCAATAGGTGAGGATCTTTTAATTTAAACTAACCGACAGAAAACGTAACGTGATACTATTTTATACTACTTCCAATGTGTGATAGACCATTAAGTTGTTTTGACCATAATTATCCTACGACTTGTCTCCATGATGTGTACATTACAGAACCAGCGCCACCAATCGGAGTAAAGCTTCCATCTTCCGACCAGGAGAGCATCACAGTAGAATGGATGTCACCGAACCCTCCTCTGGGCAGGATAATAGGTTACTACATTCAATACTGGGAGACGTTTGGTAATAGTTCCACGCCCAGAAACGTCAGCATCCCGTGTCGGGACGGGCTGTGCTCTGACATTAACTACAGGTTTTCCACAGTTATTCCCGATCTCCAGCAGGACATGAATTATTCCGTTCAGGCAAGTGTGATTCCTGAAGGCATTTTCTAAAGGGATTCTGTATATTGAAAATGGGATATAAAAATACTTGTTCATAATATTGTGAAAACGGACCCATGATTTAAATTAGTATCCATCCGTAAAAAGAATTTCTGTCGACAATGTCATCAGAGATGGCATCTTCAATCTTGCGTCAAGCTAAGATAACTAAAAGATGTAAGGTTTATACGATATGTTTGTTGTAAGACAGCTCATTATAGAACGTAATGCTATGGTCACATTACCCCCAAACTAGCCTGCTCGGTGGCCGAGCGGCGAGTTTTTAGCCAATTTTGCCCGGCCACCGAGCGGGGGCCGCCCAGGCACCGCTTGTTTTTAAGGCATCGCTCGGTCCCTGCTGAAGTTTTAGCGCGGAGTTAAAATTCGGGCGGCGCCTGCTCACTTCCACTCGCCGCCCAACCTACGCTCGGTGACCAGGCGGTCGCCGCCCGGGCGCCGACCTAATCGAGCTTTCACCGTCGAGCGATTTAGGTCAAAAATCGAAGCCGCTAGGTCAACGGCTGTCGAGCAGTCGCCGCCCGGTCGATGCCCAGTCGCCGCTGGGAGATCAGTCGGTCACTGGGCGGCGAGTCCAAAATCGGTCGGCAGCCTTTGACCTAGCTGTTTCGATTTTTGACCTAAATCGCTCGGCAGCGAACGCTCGATTAGTTCGGTGCCCGGGCGGCGAACGGCCGGGCACCGAGCGTATTTGGGAGCCCCGCCGATCACTGGCCGGCCGCCGAGCAATATCTTTAAAATCAGCCAGCGGCCGGTGGGAGACTGCTCGGGAATCGGTAAGTCACCGGTCGGTCACTGCCGGAACACCACGCGGAAAAGCTCCGCGATTTCGCCCAGTTTTGACCTAAAATCGACCGGCGACCGACGGGAAATCGACAGGGCACCGCCCAGGTATCGCTGGGGCTCTACATCCTGCTAGACTTCTCCAAAAATCGCTGGGCGATGCCTAAATTCCAGCGGCGACCGAGCAGGCTACTAATCGGTCGGTCGCCGCTCTGATTTGTGACCATAGCTTTAGGGATGACATTCAATGAATGACGCGGGACAAAACCAGGAGAAACTTTACGAAAAGCTCTCGTTAAAACTATACCCCACCACTATAACACAGCAGTCAATGTGATTTGGTGGGGTGCCACTACCCCAGTTTGGTTTCTCTCGTTAAAACTTTAAGTCAAAGGGGAGTTTCAATTTTAAACGACGAGTTTTCTTCATGCAATCTGTAGGTTTCCTGATTTTTCTAATGAAAAAAAAAAATATATGAGTATGGTGAAGAATTTCTTTTACACCATCTTTGTATCAATATTCTTTCTGATTATTTTTTTGTTGATAATAAACAATTCATGCTAAATAGAAAAAGTGTCAGGAGGTCCACAACTTTTCCGTCCATCCATTCAAGGTCAATCTCTAAATTGTCCTTAAATTGTTCTACTCTGCATTAGTACTTTTCCGCTCTTCATCTCCCTTTTCTATTACCATGTTTTCCTTTCACTATACAGGTCATGGCAGAGACTATTCGTGGTGTTGGTAGCCCAAGCCCGGACCCACCCGTTGACAGGATTACATCAGAAGGAAGTACGATATTTATCTTCTCATTTCTATGATGTCACATGTAGATCAAAGTAATTATTGTAGAACTATACTCACCCCCATTCAGAACGGGAAAGAAAGAAAGAAATGTTCAGACATATGGAAACATAAGCTATGCAAACATCACATGTTCATAGAACACGATCGCAGAGACTTTCAAGAAATCAACTCAAGGACAATTTCAATATCGTATTGTATTTGCTATGTAGAAGACATCGTCATATTACGTAAAGCCGTCATTCAAATCTTCGCACATTTCAATAGATGACGAGCAAGGCTATTGAAATTGCCTTATGCTGATGTTTAAAAGATGTTGCATTGATAATAATAATATGTCTTGTTTACCCAAGGTAGCCTCATCAGTATTCATACTCTCCACCCTGAGGGCCATGTTATTATGTCATTACCCCGGCTACCATGAAAAGCTGCTCAAGCATTCTAGAAATTCATTCCTACAGGGTACCCATTTACCTCACCTGGGTGCAATGTGGCAAATGTATATTAATATCTCCCCAGAAGACTTTAGTGCCGCGGCGGGACTCGTGGTATGGAAGTGTACATGTACATGATGTAGTTATCCATGGGTGTTTGTTTCGATAGTGTGAGATCCCACAATCCCCGAGGATTATCAGGTGTAATGTTCAGTGCATGCAAAGAGTGACCGCGTGGGCACCCAAAACACATGATGATGCATCCAACCCCCAGGTATTAAGAAAGTAATCAATAATGTAATATTGAAAATCTTTCAGCCAGATCTTGAACTGAACCTCCCATTCAAATGACACTGATCTACAGTAGAGTAGACACTGATCTACATTACACTTTCATAATATTCATTCTCTCGACCAATTCAAGTCCTTGCTGAAAACGCACCTTTTTAATTCATAAATAATATTCTGCAGTTGTGAGTCGGTCAAAGGAGGTGCACACCGTCTTATTTTTTGTTTGTTCGATCCTATGTTTGATCCTATGTTTGACCTCTTGTATGTATGTTTGTTTGATCTCACTCTTATCTTATTTTTATTATTATATATGCATGATTTATTGAATAAAGAACAGATGTATAAGTTGTGTGTTTATTATAAGTTTTGGTAAATAATTGTTAAGTCAGAATATGGTGCGCTTAGAGACACCAGTATTAAGCGCCTTATAAATATTGTTTATTATTATTATTATTAGATGTTAAATCCCTGAAATTCTCTGCATAAATACAGCGTTAAATGATGAATAGAGAAAAAAGTTGTTCACCGTATAATTGTCTTGTTTTGGGTTCAAAATCTAAATTAGACAATTGTACACAAATATTGACTTGTATTAAACTATTTAAAATGATCTTATTTCCTGCTTTATAGTTCCAAGTGAGCCCCAGGAGGCGGCGGTTTCCAGCAGATCAAAATCTTTGCTGATTTCCTGGAAGGAGCCGAGGTACCCCCGTGGAAGAATTATCTCCTATATGGTAACCTCAAAACTATATTTCAAGGAAAGATCTCATAATGATTTATGTGTATCCGAACTGTAATCCCTTTTCTAACCCTCTCTTTAGAGTTCTCCTCTATATTAGCTAATATTTTTTTCTTAGTTGAAGTTTCCAGTATTTCGGTTAGACTGGCGTGACTATAGGTTTCATCCGATTGCTTGAATAAGAATGATATTTTGATAAACAAATATATTTAATCCAATTTATGAAAAGGAAATGCGTTGTTTAGATAGATAAATCAACGAGCAGGAATAATTTATATTTAAACGTCTTTGATTTAAACGCCCCTCCCCCTCGAAAAAAGGGATGCAGATGAATTTTACCGATCTTTAAAAAACGGACGGACAAAGACTTTTCCAGTTTGTTATCGGGTCAAATGCAAATATCCATAAGGAGACCTTAATACACATCAGTGTATGATAGTATTATCCATCATTACGTTTTCGGGTCTCTATCTCTTTCTCTCTCTCTCTCTCTCTCTCTCTAGCTGGCTTACAAAGTAAAAGGAAAGCCATACGACAGATCATTCCAGCCAGAAGATTCATTTACAATGAGAGAGGTAGCGGGAGCCTCTTCGAGCTTTGTACTTGATGATCTGGAGCCAGCTACACTCTATGAGGTCTACGTTGTAGCGTCCACAAGCAAAGGGAAGGGAGAGTCTAGTCAGCATGTTGAAGGATTCACGGAACCTCCTGCAGGTATTGGACGAGACTTGAAGAAAGTTGGAACCTCCCCCCCCCCCACCAAAAAAAAAGGATAATAATAATCATATAAATAATTTAAATTAATGAATAAAAATAAAAGAATACATGACTAATTAAGTAAACAAATAAATACAAAATTATTTTAAAACAGATTATAATATTGTGAATGGTTTTTGTATTCCATCTATCTTGACAATGAAGGCGATTAGACAAACCATTCAACACTAAGTTTGTCTTTGCATGCATGTTAGCATAGGTTTTAGGGGCGTTTAACTCTAACCATAGACCTCAATATTTAACCATTTCAAATCTCCATGACACCTCATATCGCTTTATAAAAAAAACACTGCTTACACTATTCATTATAAATCAAGATGACGGGGTTCAAATTACAGCAGGGATAATAAGCCCAGGTCCCAAGTGGTAAATATGAGGACTTTAGTGCAACCGTCTTCTACTTTTCTTTTCGAATAAGAAACAAGAGAATACCATCACCATCCAGCTTTTATTTCTACCAGACTACAGGTTTATAACCGATGTGTACAGCAGTGGAAAACTGATACTTAGAATTAATTACTAGTCTCTGAGGATATTTCTAATTTCAATATTGGATAAAGGTAATTGCTCAATGAGGTTTAAGTTTGATGTTGACATCTCTTTTTTGTAATGTGCCATAGCTGACGAGCTTCCAAAGCCCAACCCACCAGTGATAGTGTCTTCCCCTGACGGTTCGTCTACCATTCAGTTTAGCGATGTGCTTGAATCTCCATATATAACGTAAGTATTCTTGCAAGCCGTGTCTCGCGTTCGCCAGCTACATATTCAAAACGATGTTTGTCGACCTTAAATTATATAAATCTTTGTTTCTTGTTTATGTATATATATATATATATATATATATATATATAGACCAGCGCTTATAAACAGTAATATAAATCGACATTCCTGCTATATTTTCATCATAGACTACCTCTCATAACTTTTCTAATGTACAAGCTTTTGTTATATTAATTCTTGAATGCATTAATTTAGTAATTGTGAAGGCTACTTTACCTCAAGAAGTAATATGATTTTTTAAAGAAAGTCTGCTAGTCATGTAATGATGTATACAAGCTGTGGCATCAACATTATTTACACAAGGGCTGACAAGGGCCTACATAAATTTAGGTTTTCCTCGTCCTTGCTTTAGAATAAAATGATGATTATTAAAATTAAGGATAGTGTCTAGAGGGTATAATCATGACAAATATCTCTTTAAACTCTCAGGCACATACTTGTTGCTGTTGAAGAGAGACGTCCGTTAGCAAGGCGCCGACGTCAACAGGCAGCGTATGGATCCTATGCCGAGAATCCCTCCTCATACATAGCAGCTAACATCAGCAAAGATGATCTTCCGATAGAGCTAACTATAGGGGATAATGAGACCTATGGAAATTACCACAATGCACCCCTCAGAGACAAGGCGATATATGATGTACGAACAGGTGTTGAGAGCAATGTTGGAGGACAGGTAAGATATTAAGGGTGGATATGTATGTCCCAAGGTACTGACGGCCTGCCTTCACGATGTAAGAGCCTACGGTTTTGTAGCAGAATTATACTGTGGAAGTAATATTTAGGTGCAAATACCGGTGATAAGGGACAACAATGAGTGGCTTAAGAATGTGTGTTTTCGTCGGGTGTATCTGAAATTGAAATACGCAACGTGTGGCATTTTTTAGAGGACAGTTTTCGTGGGGAAAAAACACAATAACACATTATGGATCAAAGAATTCAAGTGTTATGGGTTAGCCTTTTAGAGAATTCATTTTTTAAAACTTAACCGCCGTTATTAACTCCGATGAAAGTGGTCTAACTACTTGAGTACTTGGTACCTGTTATTACCCAAAGTCACTTGGAAGTGATGTGACCCGGTAGGATGCAAACGTTCATGTGGTTGGACGAGCAAGTGTGCGCTTGTAAAATGGCGACTGGCTGGAATGCTCCCCAGGGAGTGGAAAATGTGCACACATTGTGTGCGGGTAAGCCTGAATCCTATGACCGGGGTAATAATATATCTGTAAAGCGCTTAGGCACATCGTTGGATCGGTGTATTGAGCGCTATATAAAAAAAACGGATTATTATTATTATTAAGTGCAGGATATTGGCCATTGTATGTTTTATCGCAGAGGCATTAACACATGTTATGCGCTTCCCTAGTATAGAAAAGGTTCGACTAAACTTTATTAAAACTGCCACTGGATAAATACATCAACATTTCATTTCAGTAAAAATGTTTTTCATATTCCTTGTTTACCTTTTATTTAGAAATCCACTCTGTTCGGAGATTCGTCTGAAGTACAAACAGGTAGGATGGCCTATTTTATGAGAGTCTTGCAGTTGAAATCGCTTTTGCTTTTGAATGGAAATTGTCTCGATTGGCCCACGTTTAAAGAGATATGGCACATTCCAATTACCTGTACTTGTTACTTACTTGTTACTTAGAACAAACGGACATCTTCGATATGTTCAATATTACTGCTTAACTAACTACGAATAAGTAAGCATACATTGTTAATTAGTACCTAAACTAAAATTGTCCTCTACGATACGGAAATCAAAGTGGTGAATGCATGATTCAAAATTTCATTGAGCAGATTTCTCGAAATTAATGACTTTTGCCCAGTAGCTATACTACGTTTTAAATGCGAAAGTTTCTTTTTTGCTCATCGCGAATGTTCATACAGACCCCGAAATTTCGCGCCCCAATATAAGATATAGTTTTTATTCAGTATTCTCTCAAAGGTTCTAGATTATTTTAAATGCAAATGCCTTTGCTTGCTCCCTATTTTATAATGATTATCAGCCCGTTGTTAAGTAGAACAGTATGGAAAGATTAAGATTTGAAAGAAATCTTATATTTTCCGAGTTTTTAAAAACCATATTCCCTCGATACGCCACGGAATACTAGATTTGTTAATGCATGATATGAAAGCAAGTCCACTTCATAAAACAAGTATCGAATCAAGAGTTTGTCCTGGTATTCGCCTACCCTCTGTGGTGTTCTGTAGGCCCAGGAAGACCAATGACCTACTATTTTTGTTGTTTTGATTGTTATAACGGAGAGCCTTACATGAGCCTTACGATGAGATTCTAAATTATAAGACAAATCTTTTCAGTTTCCGTAATGATGATACATGTATCTTTTTTTTTTTTGGGGGGGGGGGGTTAAGTACACTTGTTTGCAAATTACCTCTTACAAGTACTAATATTTGCTTTTTTCCAATTATTATTCAACGCTTTGATTTTCTTAACATAACCCTGCCCTTTAATTCAGTGTCGTACACCTGTACACCCCATTCATTGCACTTTGTGTGTGGGGGGGGGGGGGGGGGAGCCCTCTCATTCATTGTAAACAAAATTTGTCCACGTCTCCCCTCTCATCACTGATCTTTACTGGCTCCGCGTTAATAATCGTATCATAATATAACTAGCAGGACCCGCGGAAATCCGCGGGATTCTAGATAGACTCTCTAAATTAAAACCACCTAGAACTTTATTTGCCATTCAAAAAAAAAAAAAAACTCTACCGGTAGTTATTCTTTAAGCCTCTTTCAGACTGGAACTGCGTAGAGTTGCGTAGTGTGGCGTACCGACTACGCATAAATTAGGCTGCGTATTAATGGAAAAGTGTTGCTTCACTGTAGTCTTTGCGTAGGTTACGTGTAGGCTGGCGTACAGGTTTGCTTATGGTTGCTTACGGTTGCTTACTGTGTGGAAAGCTTTTACTGCTTTGTCGATCTGGCGTAGCGTAGTGTTGCGTAGGCATGGCGTACAGTAGCGTAGTGTTGCGTGAAAAGGCGTACTTTCTGCGTCAATTTCTACGCCGAAAGTACGCGGAAAAAATTAAGCATGTTGAATTGTTTGCGTCCATCAGCATGTAGTAACGTAGGCCAGCGTAGTTGGTACGCAACACTACGCAAATCTACGTATGGACCCCACGCCAATTAGTGACCTGCCAGTGTCACTGAATAAAGTATTAAATATGCTCGTCTGACCCTAATTAAATGCCTAAAACCTAGCTGTGAGCTTTCGGGGGTTTATGGCCCCTTGAAACCCGTGGACCCACGCCTATAAACACTCAACTCGCTGCGATCTAACCCTAATTAAATGTCTAAAACCCGTGAGCTTTCGGGGGTTTATGGCCCCTTGAAACCTGTGGACCCACGCCTATAAATATACTCAACTCGCTGCGATCTAACTGATCCCACCCCCCCCCCACTTTGAAAAACGTTTCTTGGAGTCTGCATGTAATATGTAAGAATGGTGCAAGGCAGGTGATGCAGATATTTTTTTTTCAGCACTCCCCCCCCCCCCACTCAAACGATTTTACTCATTACACAACTGACTGTTTTGCAATGCATGAAGTCACATACTTCTGTCTGGTTGATATTGAACTATTAATATGTAAATGTACAATTCATAACCTTGTTTAAATTTTCTTTTAATTAACTGTAGATATAAGACAATATTAGTCTCCGATGGCTGAGTAGACGTAGAGTCGTATAGTTGTATAGCTGAGAGTCGTATAGTTGTATAGGTGTACAAAATTATGGCACTTCGGCCCGCACGCTGTTGTGTTGACGGGTTCTTCGATGGATGGATAGACGTATGTGTAATTGTATAGTTGTACGATTATTGGCCTGCTTGGCCCCCATACTCTTCGACTCTACCTCACTCAGCCAATTAGTACTCATGTTTATTCATGAGGCCGCTAGCCTAGCGTTACTTCGCACCTTCGTACGCTACCCACGGCCGACACAGCGCAGCAGCACTGTGTGTACTGTATGTATTTGTGTGTAGACTGAAGGCAGCTTGCGACTGAACTGTCAGTCCAATGGTTTTCTTGTGAAAACTTTCCTTTAGAAAATGACAATCAAAATTCAGTAAGCATGGCCGTAATAATCACAAAATAAGCTTTGATATCATACTTCGATTCACGAAAACTATATACAAATCGCGGCAATCATGATGGAAATAGGTCTCTAAGTTTGGACGTCGACGGGAAGCCCCGTGTATCTCTCTGGCTTGTGCAGCGCTACTACAAAGGATATCCTATAGAAAGATGCTTTACTCGGGTAATCCCGATCCTGTGCATGGTACATTTAATACGCAACTTAATGTGAGTGGATAGTCATCGGTCGTGTGTCTACGGATGCAATGTTGAATATCCATGAGGTATCTCTGTCGTCACGCATATCCTGCATTATGCATATCGCGTCTGTTTTCGCCCTGGACGTCGACACGGAGGAGGACCTCGGGCGGAGTATAGCCAATTCCACAGAGTAGACTCTCCCGCGGACGATGGCACCGGGCACGGGTACCCCGAGGGCAGGGTTCAGGAGGAGATAGCCGCACCAACTTGGGTCGGCGATCTCATTAAAAAAACCATAGAATACAAAGACTCGCGGAGACGTCGCGCCCCCCCCCCCCCCGCGGAGCCTTAGCGTATTACTTATATAGACACCTTAACTCTCACTTACAAGTGTCTCAATAATCAGGCCGCATCATACCGAGGTGATCTACTCCATTCGCACACATCCATGTATACTACATCATCAGCCAGTAGTAAAACAGTTACCGTCTCTCGAACCAGTAAACAGATAGATGATAGGTTTTCCCCGGTATCGTCCCCAAAACCTTGAACTTACCCCCTGTACTAAAAAATGTCCCTACTCTCACAACTTTCAAGAGGTGTCCGTTTGTAATTTATGTAAGTTTCGTACGGTAATGTTCTCTCTTTTGGTTTGTAAGTCAGTATTTCTTTTTATGCGCTTTGTATGTAATAAAAAGGTGCTTTATAAATGTAACATTATGAGAATGAAGATGTCGCAATGCTGGATTCAAGACCACATTCTTAATGACATTTGTTTAGGCGTTCATCAGTCGGAATGCGACTATATTACTGCCATGTTTTTTACAATATAGTGTCACTATAAGATTTTGATCATGAACAGCAGATATTTTTGATAAGTACATTGAAAGCTACCATTGCTGAACATCGAAATTGCGATTCCTATTTAAAGTACGTTCAAAATGATGGACAAATGTATTGAGTTATTGAAATCGTTGCATATTTCTAATCTAAAAACAAAGGTTTTGGTTTCTGGTTTTGGAAAAATTGGATGTCCGCATTAGTAGAACTATAATGATACTTACATGTATACATAGAGCATAATTTTGTAATTGTTGTTTTTAGTGCTCCTTAATGATCGATATTTGTATTTTTATATTGTTATTACTATTATATTACTATTATTATTATCATTTAATTTTATAATTTGTTTGTCTTGACCTCACTTTTCCATTCATTGAACAATAATCGTACACCCACGATACTTGAACCGTGAATGTCTAGCTGTGATAGTAAGCTAACTACTGGGACTGGTCTTTTCGCATGCAATTACAATCAATTACGATCATAATTATACTGCTAGTAAATGTGTAGCTGATTTACTTATCATCTATCTATATCAACTCTGATGCTACCTCGGTATTTCTAATCTAGTATCTGATTTATTAAGTATTTATTTATTAACTCTGATGCTATCTTCGTGACTTTTAACTCATGTCATTTCTTTTCACTACCATCCTTGTTCCCACACCATCCTCTTCACCTACTGTATCTTCTTCATCAACATCAAATTCAGCTGGAGTTCCTTCAGGTTTCATAGCAACTGTCGTAGGAGGCGCTGTTGGTGCTTTTTTTGTGATTGTTATCGTTATAATTCTCATCATCATCTTTTACAAGCGAAGAAGGTTAGAGAAATACCTTATTCTTAACTTGTCCCTCTTATCAGTCCATCCTGATCGTACTGTTCCATGCAAGATGCTAAAACCATATGGTCATTAAACAACAAGATAAATTATGATTGTATTTTTGTTTGGGTCTGTATAGTAATTTAATTTATTGTTTAAAAATATGCTATTCAATGTAAATGTTCTAAATCATAACGCTTTCTTAATACCATGGCAACCAGTTTGAAAGTCGTATGTAATAGTAAGTTTTTTTTTAAATACCATTCCCCCATACCAATTGTCATGTTGACATGTTTATACATACCTATTTAATGGGACATAATTATTGTTTCAATTACGTATTTCATTAATGCGGTTTATATCTTTGTTTTAATATTAACTTTCAGCAATGAATCAGCCCCTGCTAAGTCTAAAGGGAAGGAGTCCGATTCGTCTCCGCAGTATGAGAACCCTGTATTTGATCCGTCAAAGACAGACGCCCACACCTATCAAGACCTGCACACTGACAGCCACACCTACCAAGGTGTTAATACCGATGAGCAGAGCTACCAGAATCTTGCTGACCCTCATACCTACCAAGATCTCAAGAAACCTGATCAAGAAGCTATATACGAAGATGTAACTGACGCCATGAACAGAGACTATGTCAACGTAGTGAAGAAGAATTGAATACACGAGATGAAGAAAGTCCATTAAGATGATTTTGAGTTATCAAAAAAATAGTTTTTATAATTTTAAGGGGAAATATATTACAAATATATGTCTATGTCTTTATAATTTCCGGAAGATGAAACCATGCTTCATCACTTATCGTAAAATATCAAATTTAATCTTTAAAACTGAAAGAAAAACTGTGCTGATGGACTGTGGCGTCTCCTCTTAAGTATCCAAATGGAATACCATGACGAAAAGCTGTCTCATGGCTTCGTTTTCATTCACCATCTCTACTCGCCTTACTACCAAATCTGTTAATATCGGGGATCAGTTGAAATACAACCTTTTAAAATAATAATGATTCGCACAGGTCGGACGAATTTGGGTAAAAATAGTTGCACACCTTGGGTACCACACTACATGAAAGTAAAGGTATGCGATTAGTTTCTTTAAAGCCTATCTGTACTAGTTTGGCCAGGAGGGATTAGACCTCCCTGTATGGTCACTGACAGGTGATTATCTCATGAAATCAGCTCGCAATTAACATATGAAAAAGGGTACCGTGGGGGCACCAATGGTCACCACTTAGGCATTCTATTGATTACTTGTGTTAATGCCTCTCGTTGCTGGTGGAAAGCATTATTACAGCATCGATGAACAAGAATGAATAAATTATCAATTATTATTATTATACTTGTTATTATCAACATTAATATTATTATCATTATTATTATAATTATCATAAACATTATTGATATTATTATCATTATCATCATTACTATGAATGTTATTATTACTACTTCCACCTCGACTACTTCTACTACTTCTACGAAGCAGTGGAATTCAAGTTGATTAATAGTGCAATGATAATGTGTTAGGATGTGAACGATGAAATATGAAATATAAGATGTGAGTATAGATATAGACTATGCACAATAAAGTACACGTGAAATGTGGTGGAAAGCATTATTTCCACATTTGTGGAAATTATAAATAAATTATCAGTTATTATTAATATTATTACTACTACTACTACTACTACTACTACTACTACTACTTCTACTACTACGACTGCTACCTCTACGTCTACTAAATAGTGGAATTTAAGTTGATGAATAGGTAAACGATAATTTGTTAGGATGTGAACGATGAAATATGAAAATAAAAGCTGTGAATATAGACCAAGAATATGCACCATGAAATTAACGTGAAAGCATTATGTTATATAAGGGTGGATGTTTAGCGAATCATTATATAGTAGAATTAGTAGTTAATTAATAGAGTAAGATAATGTAATCCAAGTCAACATGTATATATACCATATGAGCAGGGGATGTTTAGGAACATATTAAATATGAACACTGATAAATGAAAGTGTAGAACGCACAATATGTAAACATGAAAGAAGTAAGAACAATAAAGAATACAAAAGCAAATCTAGTTATTTTGTTTCAGCTCGTCATTTGGCACTTTAAACGGTTCTCAACATTAATCCGTCTGATTATTAATAGTTTGGAATTTGGCAGACTGTTAGCACAGCCAGTCAGATACAAGCCAGATTACTTTGCGGTAACAATTATTACATTTAAAAATGCATTAATCAGGAGAAGATGATTACAACAAAAAATCACCTAAATTACCCCATTATGCAAAAAAAGAGAAGATTTATCATGCTTTTAGTGGGATCCCAACCATCGTTCTCATTGTAACTATTTAATAATAACTCGATTAATTATTCAATAAGACTTATGAACACATATTTAATACCATTTTATTGAAAACGGTGAAATAAATTTTTAATATGTAATAATTAGACATGTAATTCAGCAAATCATAATTAAGGTTTTGTGGCTTATTGCCAGACATAATTACAGGTACATGGTGTAGAAGAATTTCACGACGATGCCCCAGACGATATCTAAAATGTCGTATCCGGACACTTACCCACTGGACATCAATTCAATTCAATTCATTTATTTTTCCTCTTTCAACTGTTCATATTTACAATAAGGGTACGTTTTAACATATTCACATATTAATATACATATACATGTAAATCAATTTGCACAATAAAATACATCAAACAAATAAACATGCAGTTAAAAGGGAAGGAGGGCCGACCTAAAAGCAAAGCTTGTAGGGCGTAGCCCCCCCCCCTGTAAAATTACTTATTATGGATTATTATTATGAACCACTATGGCAACCAACATCTAGGACCACTACCCCCTAGGAAAACTACCCCCGGACAACTACCCCCTGTCTGGGGGGTAGTTGTCATAGAGGATGGTTGTGTAGGGGGTAGTTGTCTGGGGGTAGTTTTCCTGGGGTACTTGTCCGGGGGTAGTTGTCCGGAGGGTAGTTGTCCTAGGGGGTAGTTGTTCGGGGTAGTTGTCCGAGGGTAGTTGTCCCGGGGGTAGTCGTCCTAGAGGGTGGTTGCCCTAGGGGGTAGTTGTCCTAGGGGGTAGTTGACTGGGGGTGATTATCCGGGATGTGGGTGTGTAGGGGGTAGGTGTCCTAGTACTCTAAAATGTATGTGTGAATATTAATTAATTTAACCCCAAAAAGACCGTATTATTTTAATATGCAATTTCACAGCCGGGTAGGTGTCGGATTCTGCCCCCTGATCGAGGCCGTGAAGCAACAAAATATCCTTAAATTGGGCGCATTAATAAAGAACCTCAATAATAATAATAATGATAATAATTTTAACAATAATAATAAAAATATTAATCCTCATCACCAAGACCCTCAGAGAGCACTTAAAGCTGTTGGTTTCCTGGTTCCTACGATACAAACATAACCAAAACAAACCATTAATCAAATCAAACCAAAGTAGTATTCAGTTCTATATATGCATAGACTGTGACGACTTCACTTCAACTATAATTTATTTGGTAGTATTTATCTAAACCTTCTCTTTACATGTAGATTTTGTTTCATTCTCTATACACAGAGGCTGGGTATAGTTTTGTAACTACATGCATTTTCAGTAAGGTTCACTGGTTTTTTTTAATACAATTAAAATATTTTATATTCTATACTGGATATGTAGTTCAAAAACGGTTTTGATAAAATGGCCAGTCACTTTTCCATTTTCGTATTGTTTTGTAATTTTTTTTTTGTGGTTGAGTTTACAATGTACTGAGGGAAATTGAAACCGTATAAAATGCTATGAGTAAACGCCCTTCTGGCTTCAAAAGGACACAAAGTGTGATTTTTATAACAGATTTGTGATTTTTTTTTCTTCTTCCACTAGACTTTCTCATTCTGAAAGGAAATAATCTTCACCTTCAATTTGATATTATGGAATCAACAGCAATACAAAATGAAATATTTACAATCATGCACATAGCTGACTACTGGGAAGGACATAGTAAAGCTTACAGCTTGAAGTGTATGTCGCCCTCAATTTACATGTTTAAAAACAGAATGGAGTGACTGAGACTGAGAGAGGGAAGTACCATGCCTATTACATGTACCGTGTGAGTCAAAAAAAAGTTTACACCTAGAAAATTGCTAATTATTTTTAAAATCATCTATGAACGGTAAATTATTATATATCTTGTGAAAGAGTGTTTTATCCCAAATCATTTGGTATCATTTTTGTGTGGTATGTGTTTGCGCTTGGATGTACAGGTGGCATTGTTTGCGAGAGTGCAAAAGTCAACTTGCGCCAAATTAATTCCTACAGTGTGTATTATGTTGGGATTAGCGGATGAAATGCATTGCGTATGCTTTTTACAAAGGGCAAAGTCACACACACCCACACACACGCGCACAAATTTTCGTTGATATTTGATATTCGATATTTGATATGTGTGGCATGATTACTTTTGTTAAGGATGTTATTTGGATCTGCAAAGACCGAATTAATATCCAAAGCCCAATTGTTTTATTCAAACATCACATAAGCAACTTTGGCGCAAGTCGATTTTTGCACTCTCGCAAACAATGCCTCCTGTTCATCCAAGCGTAAACAAATACCACACAAAAATGGTACCAAGTGATTAGTGATAAAACACGCTTTCAGAAGATGTATAATAATTTACTGTGCATAGATGATTTTTAAAATAATTAGAAATTTTCTAGGTGTAAACTTTTATTTGACTCACACTGTATTGTTGCGGACAATGCCTCCTTGACTCTTTAACACCTATAGTGATATTATCATACAAATGTTTATGAAAGAAACACACGTCAAGTTTTCCGCGTACAACAGAACACCCAAACTATGTATTCTGTTATCAATATTTGTCTTCAAACACATTGGAGAAGTATATTATAATGAATGTATGCTTTGTTCGAACAATGTAAAAAGTGAAGTGAATTAAATACACCATTCATATACTCCTCGTCTCAAATGTTCACACACACACACACACGCATACACAACACCCACCTACAAAATACACATGAACCCACACACGCTCTAGCACACAGAGCCCAAATATACGGGTCCACATATGCCCACACATTATGTGGCCCTATTACATATCAAAATATACGACCGCTATTAAAGACGACAGTTTTATAAAGGCATAAAAAAGGAATAGACGGCAACTAAGTAACAAATGGATCATTTCGTGCGTTCCTTCTACAAGCTGAATTATTATAAGAAGAACAAATATTTTCAATATAAACATCCAGTTTCTGTAAGGTTCCGCCTTGATATCCGGAATCGAAGTGGTATTTTCCCTTTTGGATGAGGCAAATCTTGTAGCTGCAAAGCGGGGATCAGACACAATCTATCGGAGCACGCTATTGGCTGTTCCATACATAACTGGCGCGATATGACGTAGTTTGAATCGCATTTGAGGGATTACCAGGTCGCTATATGCTTCAAAAGATATCCGTGACCCCGATAGACGGATTTCCAACGCAAGGAAATCAGAACATATCTGAATTTTAATTGTGAGAAAAGGAGGAAACTATGTGTTCTCGAGTCTTGGCAAGGGCTGTTGTCAAAGATTGAAGTAGTTTGCAGAAAGTTTTCCTTCTGTCTAGGACGACCAGCTGAGGTATAGAACTGACTTAAATTTGGTATTTTGTCTTCACTAGGAGAGAAATACGAAAAAATCACCAGTGGTTCAAAATTAAGCTCGGCCGAAACTTTCTTCTTGTTGGATAATTTAATATGGGGAAACCCATTTTATATCCATGATATATTAAATTTAAAGCTAAATTGTGTGAACAAGGAAACACTACTCCTGACTATGACCTGGACTATTTCATGTTGCCTCGCTGATGTTTTCTAGATTGATTATTTCAATCAATCCTTTCTGTCCATCTGTGGATGCGGTTGGCTCAACTATTATATGTCTTCAATGTTTACAAAGTCCTGATCTTCACTTCACCAGCTAGATTAAGGGAAGCACGATGCTGACCTAATATTGCATCTTCGTATCATGATTGAAGTTTTTTGTACGTAAAAGAAGAGAGGCCTATATCATACGGTCCTCGTTTAGGATTCCACAAATAGCCAAACGTAGAACCGTAAGTTTCACCTGAAACACTGTCAATTACCAAACAAAACTAATAACGGCAGAACCTGTACCTTACCAAAGCGAACAAACATTTGTAAAAAGTCTGGTATTGAAGAGCTCCGTGTACAAAGGTGCGCTTGGATTGTCTAAAAGATTATTTTTGGAGCTGCAACTTATTTTAGAGGCCATTCTGGCCTGGATTTAGTATTGAACACACTCCATTACAGAGAATTCCTTAAGGATTTGGAATGGTGTATAGAGCACAGGGCTCCACTAATCACTGACAAACATATTATACCTGTTTAAAAGTGTGTTCACCTACGTATTATGGCGTCCTTACTAAGTTGGATCAAATCCTTTTCTGGACTCATACTTGTGTTGTTCTACATAGCTGCTACAAGTAATGGTAAGTAAATAAATACACATTATCATCTTTACGAAACGATGTGCCCCCATCCATTCATTCAACAAATATACTTGAATAAGAGAAATACAATTAGCTATGCTGTAAAAATAAGGAAAAGACACACACAAAACAAAAACATAACAAATTTCTCTTTTTAAAGTCAATGTAAGTCCATACATATTACAGTATATGTATCCGGATATTTGTTGCGTAACATTAATTTATACTAACCTCGGTGTGACAAAAAGAGATTGAAATACTAAGCTTAGAAACTGTTGACTGTTGAAAGCTCAAAAGTTAAAGCTCGAACCCGAGTGATGTTTTTATAGTATCAAATTTAAGGATGTGAAAGTCATTAAGAGTCAAGTTTGTGACATTTCCTTTGAATAGAAATATCTGAATTTCTTATTACATTTTAACTGTTTGACAATTCGAGGACATAAAATCGGTGCCGGTATTCAATTAAGAACACAGCAGTGCTGTTTTGAAATTGTACAGGTCCAAAGCGTCTCTTATAACACAGGGTAATGCGGACAGAGGTCGATCCTCTCAATAGGCCATTTTCGTAATGTATTCAAATACATCTTTTTGTATTTCCTCGATAGATATTATTCATGCACCTGAATAAGTTTTTGCTGAGTATGCAAAATTGCATGCATTATGCGTCGTTAGGTAGGGTTTATTTATGGCTTGATTCTCGTTTAAACATGAAGAAGCGCATATACAACACATGTCATTTTCGACAAGCGATGAAAAACATGGTATGAACAGGCGGAAAGGGCAAGGTACTTCCTATTCAAAACTCAGTTTCATGTATTAAGTATAATGACAGTAATTAAATGCTAATAGGCCTTATGTCAATACAGTTGAATTTAAAAATAGTAAACGTGGTTAAAACATAATGTTTTTTTTTTAATGTAAACCAACAAATTAAAGATATAAAAAAGTAATTATTTGTTCTGTTGATGCATGTCGAAAGGAATTGGCTCATTATAATATTATTTCATTTATCCTATTATGACTCAGGTCTATGGTTTTATCATAAATTATTCTACCCAATATAATTATTTAGTAGATATAATTCACTTTTCGTATTTAAGGAATATTTTAAAGCTAGTTTGATTCTCTAAATTTGCTGCCCCTATCAGAATGTTCTTCCCCTAGCAATTGGGGAAGTTTTCTATATAGAGGGAGCAAGTAGCTACAAGTAGAATAGTGGGGCTTTAAGAAAACTAATGATAAATGAAGGGAAAATAACGTTTTGATCAGAGAGATATAATTCAAGAAATACACATTTTTTAAAGCAAACTGTATGCACATTCCGCGGTCTTTTTTTTTTACAGATCTCCCGGACCTAAGTCAAGACAATAATGTTAATTGTGAAGGGAAAGCTACAGAGAGGGAATGTATATTTGGATTGATCAGGTGGGATATCTAAAAGGCAGAAATGTAAATGAGGCAGTTCGGTTAACTAATGACATGATTTTTCATACAACTCAAAATAAAATACCTGTTTATTTGTTGGCAATAGATTATAAAAAGGCTTTTGACTCGGTTCATAAATGTTTTTGCAAAAGGTCTTAGTAGCTTTTGGTTTTGGACCGTCATTTTGTAAATGGGTGAAAACAATTTATAGCACGGCTCGGCGTTGGGTTATTCAATGTAGACGTATCAACTGGATATTTTCGTATTGAGAACATTATTTACTAGTGAAATCGGAATGTTAACGACTCTTTATGGAATGGAAAAGATAACATCAAACGGAGTACTATGTGTTTTAGATAACGATAACGGAGGTCTTAAATCGACAGACTTTGGATTATTCATTCGAACACAAATAATCATGTGGATGAAGAAACTTATAACAAAAAATTCAAATTTGATTGGGAAACGCTTTTTTAAATACCTGACCAGAAAATTCGGCAGCCTCTTGATATTGTTCAGTAATATATCCTCATATTTACTTGAACTGTCATTACCAGACTTTTTTGTAGCAAGTTTCAGGCTTCGGTTGGGACAAAAGCGTTTTTGGTAAAGAAAGAAATTTTAAAAAGAAATCAGATTATATACAATAATAGATGTATCCACATTCAGGGGCATGAAGACTTATTTCTAAAAATGTTTTTTAAATACATCATATAGGAGAGGTCAATTAAAATCTATCAAAAAATTTCAGAAAATGGGTTTAAACAACATGGACATAAATATGATAAAACAGTTAAATGAAGGCATTCCGTTCTCCTTGAAAACTTTTTTGAAATATATATAAACATCTTTGTAAGGATACCGAATTGAGTTTAGAATTTATTTTTAACGGAAACCCCCACTCTTTGCAAGGCATAACATCAAAGATAATCTATAGGACATAGTTAAAATGTCATGCTACATGCAACTTAGAACGTACATATGATTTGGTTGAAAATGACACGAGAACAATTCTCCTAAGCCCCCGAAAATCTAATTTGGACAGAAAGCTGAGGGAATTTCAATATAAAATGTTATATAATTTAATTTATACAAATAAGCATCTATACACTGTCGAACATGCAGTGAGCAATTTTTATTTATTTATTTATTTATTTATTTATTTATTCATTTCCTCTCATAGGGTGGATGGCCCTTTCAGCACAGCTGATTTTCAAAGGGGTCCACAAACATAAAAATAACAATAAATATACAGTGAATTATACAATAATATGTAAAACGTTGCAAATGCAAGAAGTAAGGCAATGAATATGTACATGTATAGTCAAACAAATAAATATCTAACAGATTAAAGTACAAAACAAACAAGCAATAAGACAGTTGATTGCAGATATTCAACTAGGACGACAACAAGCATGCGAGTAAAACTGTAAAACCGATAACATAACACAAAAAACATCAATGTAAACATAAGAAGAAAAAAAAACACAAGACAGGAATAAGAGGATGGGTATAATATTTATCGTGTTTAAAAAACTATTTAAAAAAAAAACAATAAAACACAATAAAAAAAATATTTAATCAAAAAAAAAAAAAAAATATATATATATATCTATTTAAAACATAACCAATAGAATATCAAATTGAAGGTAAAAATTGTAAAATCTTTGCTCCTTTTGCAATAAACACGGAGAGTCTTATGAACATCTGTATCGTTTAACCCTGTGAGAAGGTAGCAAGTATTTGCAGGGACTGCGGTGACCTTTATGAATAACCAACAGTGTATACTGGCAAGAAATCAATATCGGCATAATCAAGGATCCAATGCAGGAGAAGAAGAACTGTAAAATCACATTATTTTTTAAATAAAACATATGATGTTTATGTACAGGACTTCAAAAATACCCCAACTCCTCAAGAAATAATAAAAAAAGAATTTGAGAAAATAGACAAGAAGAAAGGGAGTTAGCGGGGGATAGAGGCAAGTATTTCTATTTCAAACTCGAAATTGTTATATAATTTGCTCAGTGGGACATGAAAGATGGATTTCCAACGATTGTGTAGATGTGGCTGTGTTCGTGAAGGGAGGGGAACTTGCGGAGTTTAGGAATGGGTACGGACGGGGAAAGTGGATACGTAAGATTGTATGCGCGTGTGTGTGTGTGTATGTGTATGTGCGTTTGTGTGTTTGCGTGTGTGCGTGTGCGCGTGAGGCTCTTTTTTGAAATATTGTTCATTCAGTTCACAACATGTTATATTGTTATAAATGAGTAATATCTTTCAACTGTATATGATTTTGTTATGTTTCTGTGGTAATTGGTGACTGAACGTATTTATGCTTTGTTATGCATTATTTTGTAAGCTTGAAGACGAGATGAAAAAATGTAAAAATGCGAAATTGTATCATGTTTTTCAATTATATCATTAAATGAACAATAAAATTCTCTTTCGAAACAAAAATATTCGCTCGTCATCCAGCAAAAGGAGAAAAAAAAAATTTACGCGGGAAAGTTAGAAGAATTCTAGAATTTGTTTATGATGGTGGTGTATTGGAAGTTGGGTATGACTTTGTATATTTAGGAGTGGCGTTTAATTATAATTGAAATTGATTTTTGTTTCTGCTAAAATGGTCATACAAGCTAGAAAGGCAATGTATGATATGCTAGTAAAGGCAAAAACGTTGCATTCATCTGTTGTCATTAATTTGATCACTTAGTTTTGCCAATTCTATTATATGGTGCTGATTTATGGGGCTATGAGTGTATAGTTCAACTTGAAGTTTTCCAAAGAAATTGTTTAAGAATAAGTGCACACCCCACTGTATGGTTTACCGTGAAACTGGACGTGGTAAAATATTAGATAAAACTAAGCGTAGAATGATTGGATACTAGGTTAGACTAGTTAAAGGGAAGCAATCAAGTATTCATTGATTCTTTCAATTTTTTTTTTATAGCAGTCTCAAATTGAAGCACAGAGGTCAATTAATATCAAGTCGCAATGGGTTGAGTTTCATGCAGACAGTTTTATCATGCAGGACTTTCGAACGTTTGGCGAGCTCAAGGAGAAGGATATAGTGCTGCCTGGATTATGAATACTATGAAAACCAGGCTTTCTGTCATGTCTATTCAGGAATGGAGCACAGCTACCTGGTCAAATCGTATTTGCTCGAACTATAGGATGTTTAGGAATAGGTTTGTTTATCAAAAGTACCTGCACATAGTTTACTATGTCAGAAGAAAGCACTATCTTTAAGTAAATTTAGATGTAGATCACATATATTACAAGTTAATAAAGGTTGATTTGATGCAAAGAATAGTACATGATTTTCAATATCTACTTTGTACCTCATATATATTGGTGATGAATTCCATTATATTTGTGTACGTCCATTTTTTCAAAATGAGACAAAATGTGTATACCAAAAAACTTGTGTGATAGTAGCCTAAGACCATGCTAAGAAGTGCGTTGCGTATTGACAAGGTTTTGAATACAGTTCATGCTTTCCAGCTAAAGAAATTAGCAAAATTTGTTAGAATAATTATGTCACATTATTATCTTTGCTCATATTATCATATGTTTATCATTGTTCCTTGTTCAAGGGATATATATACCCCAGTGGCCAGAATCCACAGGAGGAGCCCGGCCGGGGTCCGTAGAAGCCGCCCGGCAGCGGCCCAAAACCATCATGGAGCGTGCTAGAAGCACGCCCGACTTTGTACAAGTCGGGGGCGGGATACGGAAAGGTGACGTTCAAGTATCGGAGGGAGCCATTGCGGCGGCCGCGACGCTCTGCCGACCTCCGCACGAATTTTAAATTTCATAATGGTTTAAAATAGTCGGATTCCCGCCCGAATATCGATCGTCTATTTGCCGATGCCCGAGTGATGTACGCGCGACCTGTTTACGAGCTCTGCGACCTCAACATTCGCCATTGGGCAATTGCTGAATAAGGAGCAGGTGTCGGTGCCTTGCGAGCGTCGGCCAACCCCTAAAGAAAAGCGGCGGAGCCCGCAGTGATCGAGCAGAGATCGAGCAGTCACTGGCCGTATTTCTGGCGGAAATGCCCTTTTGAGCTCGCAGAAAAGTCGGGCGGACTCCGTTTTGAATATGTGACGGCCCCTTAAGAACCCCTGGTCGAAGCATTGGTTCACCATTTTTAAAAATATATTTAAAAATACACTTTGTTTTTGGTGGGGAGGGGGATGTCTTTACTTTTTATATACTAAACTCTGATACGTCCACTGTGGGTTAAAGCATCTTTCTGTGAGCATTTTAATGAAAGATTCAGACTAGCTCCTAGGTAATTTCACGTTTAGCTTAGGCCCTATGGTGAATGCTGTTAAAGATTACTCCCCTCATTCAGGGCCGGAAGCCTAAATTATAGTCTATGTAGTCCACTGAGATGTGCATGCTATTAAATCTATTATTGACTATTGTAATGTTTTTCTAGGATACATCGTAGACCTGACATTAGTGACCAATCACCCCCTCCTGGATCCTCCCAACACACGTGATCAATATATCGGTGCTTACCTAGGTCAGAAAGATGCAAGCATCAGAGACTGTATTACGTTTCATCGAATTATCCGGACCGGCGATACTACAAATCTCCCAAACTATATCAACATAGTAAACGAAGGTCAACGTATAAGAAAGCTAATATTCGAACAGTCCAATCAAACCAAGGCATCAGGAGCATTCCATACAGCTTTCGAATATGAAGGAACCACACGTAATACTTCAACTGTTGTCTTGATGCACAATGGTGAGTACACATATTTGTGAAATCCGTCCAGTTTTGGGCCACTGGAGGTATTATGTAACTTGTTTACTGGGTCTGTAGTCGGCCTTGTATATATCTCGTTGGTGTCGTTATTTTGAGTTTCTTGGAACGTAATATCAGCATGCGCAGCCAACTGAGGGCCACCTTTTTCAGAAAAAAATTAACACAGGGACCAGATTTATTTACCTCTGGACGTTCCTTATTATTTTGAAACATAAAACTGGTAGTACCAGTCTAAAGAAAAACACATTCTCTAAAACTGGAAATAATTTCAAGAAGACCTTTGAACTTTTAAAATGAACACGAGATGCATTTTCTGAGCAATTTTCCTCATTTCCTGACTTCATGTGATATGGTCTTCCATGTCTTAGGGTAGCCTTGTTAATTGTGATATTGTTTTTCCCGATGGCCTGTAATCACACACACACACTTTAGCCGGGCAACCATCGTAATAAGGGCCAGAAGCATTGAAGGATTAATTCTCACCGGTCCGGTTTGATACCCATTTGTTTCATAGTGGGGAGAGTGGCTAATGTAGATTAATATCTTGCCAAAGGAAAGTATTGCCGTAACAGAGATTCGAATCCATACCATGTACTTCAGTTACTTTATTAGTAGAATACGACATCTTCAATATAATGATTGACTTAAATAATCGCCAAATGTACATGTAAGTCTATACAGACATTTTAAATAATACTCGAGCAAGCGTATATCTGCATATGTATAAAAGACCCCACTCGTATGCTTACAAATTGGTAGGCCTATACAGATCAAACAGATCTTTCACTGACTTCAGAATTTTCCCATACAATGATTAACTTTTTTCAGAAGAAATTTTCCCCAAAGCTGCTTTTGCACTTCATGACCATTTTTTGTACTGGCATATTATTCCCATTTACTTTACAGCGACAATCTTGCCTGAACAGACAACGTTGACTGTCCATGAGGGGGAAGATGTTACACTCGATGTTGTCACCAATGTAGATGACTTCCGGTGGCGGTTTAATGGAGATGTTGTACCGGACAGTAGAAGAAAGCAGAGTCTTACCTTGGAGAACGTGCAGCTAAACCAAGCTGGGGTATATAAGTGTTTTGTAGTTGGAAACCGATGGGATGCAGGAAATGCAATACTCCTTCTTCATGTCGTCAGTAAGTTGACAGTTTACTATCCGTACATGTATCTAAAGCATCTTTATATTCAAACATCGTTGAAATTGTCTATAATTCTGTTGCCAGCAAAATATCAGTGAAATGAAAATTGAATATTGACAATGGTTATCTTTTTATTGTGTTAGGGGGATGTATAGATAGAAAGTTAGAATGCAGGCATGTCAATGCATATTGGCATATCGGTTATTTACTTCTGATATTGTTTAGATGCTGGATTCTTATCCACTTTGAAATACTAATACTGTTTACTTCAAACAGAATGCCCAGCTTATCGTTGGGGATCCGAATGTGAACATACCTGTAATGAGTGTCTCAATGGAGGCAAGTGCGATGTAGACTCAGGAGAGTGTGTATGTCCTCCTGGTTTCAACGGGACAACATGTGAACACGGTAGGTTTTACACTTTGGGTCCTCTGCGCGTCGAGACACTGGCATAGACATACTTGTTGAACAAGTTGGGGCGAGGGGGGGGGGGACAGACGGACACAACAAGCAAAGAGTCACATACTTACAAACACACACACACACGCGTGCACACACAAGCGCACTCATAAAGAGTATAAGTTCCATGGATGACCCTTTTTTCAAAGTGGATGAATGAATTCCCCCCACACACACACACCCTGACTACCCATATGTCTCGACACCAAGCTTCCGAAGCGAAATGTTATATCATTTTTTAGTTTACACAATTTATTTGTACACATGCCAAACTATTTTTTTTTGTCTTGGATTCAGCTCAATATTTGTTTGATGTGAATGAAAACAATGATTTCATGTAAAATACATGCTTGAAATAAGGTTCAATCTGTAATACTCTTCTAATATATAGTAATGAACATAACAACATCATCTTTCATTGATCAGATTCAATCGATGAAACCCTTGGTTAAGAAAACAGCATTGTTTCATCGGCAAGTTCGTACATTTTTATCTTTCAATACCTAAAACTCTTTTCAATAAAGCTATCTCTCGAATCAGAATCAAATCAACTCAATGTCGATAGAATAATACTAGAAACTCTATCGTGAAAGCATTTCTATCCATATCTCTTTATCATAAGTACTGGGCAGCAACCGGTTCGGACAGGATGGCAGCTTTTCTTGTGATTCCTCAGGAGATGATCACAGTCCAGGATGTCGGGGTAAACTTTTTTGCCTACCAGACCCCTTTGGATGCACCTGTGCAGCAGGATTCATGGGAATCAATTGTACAACAGGTACTTATAATCATGTAAATCAAATTATAGAATCATTCCTGAGCGAATATGTATATTATAAGAGAGCTCAAAAATACATAATCTTAAAGGAGAATGTGATATAACATACGTGTGTAAATATGGATTACTCATAAATGTACATGTACATGTATACTACAAAAGTTCTTCACATGTCTCTTCCGGCAAATAATTGTGTCTTTCATGAGAGGGGTTTTTACACTACAACGCTTAAAATATTAGATATTCTCTGGCGTAAGTGAAGGTAACGAGAAAAGATATTAAAGAAACAAAATCAACCCTGACGCAGCTTTCATTTTTAGTGCCGGCAAAATTAAAATACGAAAGATATGAGTGAAGAAGAAGGTATATCTATATTTGCAGTATTGAATGGGTTAAACCATACGATTTTCAAGACTGAAAGAGAGGCTGGCCTATGTGCGAGCTTGCAACTCGTGTGAAGGGAAGAAGTATTTGTCTACATAGAAATGCTTTTCAAATGACAATTAGTGTTCTTATCATGACATTTCAGCACGGTTCAATTTGTTCCGCTTTTGAATTTTGGATACCTGAACTTAAAATAAGCACAGTATATCCTGAACAATGTAATTCAATAGTAATGTTAAGTGTGTATCAAGGAGCATGGTTACATATAACCATGAACTAGATACCTCTTTGAGGTGGACAGAGATTCCACAATGGGATATACTCTGCCATTGGAAACATGAGATTTGTTATCTTTTAACGAGTGGTGCTTGGGTTGAAAGTGAAAGTGTTTTAGTTTTTATTATTCTGTCATCATGAAACTGAAAACAAATATTTATATTCTTTTCCAAGGGATATTAATTCCTTTATCCGTGTTTTGAAAAGCGAAAATAAAATGACGTTTTATCGTATAGTCAAAATGGTTGTACCTTTCTTCTATAAATAAGGAAGAGCTGGAAAGCCATGGACTCTTTTCCGTAGAAAGATTTTGAAGTAGCCATTAATGTGCAAGCACGTAGCCCTTTAAAAATGTGCTCGATAAGAAGGAACGAAAACTGAATTGACAATTTTCCACATTATAAAGGATGACGCTTCCTCATCCAACTTTCTGGCAAGGAGCCACAAAAATCTGTTCAATATAAGCATTTTCCTAGCCAAGTTCTGTAAAGGCACAATGTTGCATTACTAAAACAACATACATGTACAAAAGTTCTTTGCTTTAAAACCCATGTACTATAAACTTTATTGATTCTATTTAAATCCTTCAAAGCGGCCCCATTTCAATTAAATAGGTATTTAAAAAAAGCCTATTCTACAATAACAAGTAGAAACTTGCATATCAAAAATATTTAGGTACTTTATTCGAAACTGTACCGAATTTAAGTGTTTATTTAAAAATGATTGAAATCGATCTTTCTATAATTATCACTACATATATCGAACTATCAAAGACGTTCTAATGCACTTGTGGGTGGGAGCGTATCGAGAAAAAAATACCCCGAACCAGCTGATACAAATCTACCAAGAATTCAAAACGCACCCTAGATACCTCATTGACTCATTTATTTCGGATTTGTTTGAATTCATTCTCGAAATTTGATATGAAGGCAACAATTGCATTAATGTAGGATTGGGTTCTTGGTCCTGCTCCTCAATGTGAAATTGTGATGTTTCAAAAGCACATTTGGCCTACCTCATAATGATGTTCCTTATGTTCTATTACTTATCAATTCCCATGATTTTGTTAAAGAATGTAACCCAGGAACGTATGGAGCAAATTGTTTGCAAGAGTGCCACTGCTCTCCACGTAACATCTGTACCAAGGATACAGGAGAATGCATTGATGGGACTGCGTGTCATGAAGGCTGGACTGGTGTCAACTGTCAAGGTGATTTTTATTTTTCCGAATTTTTAATTTTTTTTCTTCTCAGTTTTCATAGTATTTTTTTTTTAAATTTTGATTTATTTAATATACAATATTATCACAGAATAAACATATCACGATTGAAGAGCCAAAATTCATTTATTGCACTTGTCAAAGCAAGGGGTAAAGACACATAAGCGCATTTTTTTGATTAAACAGATTATTAGTTTTAGCTAATTTGTGGCTAGATTTGCAGTTAGTTATCGTTTGAAATGCATTCCCTGCTTTTGTCTATTATGCTGAGTTGAACAATAAAATTAGTTCTCCTATCTAGTATAACGATTAAGATTTCCGCACATTAATTGTTAGACGAACTGCAAGTAGTTCTATGATATTCTCAAGTACGGGCTCTCCAGTTAAAAGCTATATTTCAAAAGCATCATAATATTTTGAACACTTATTGATTTTTCCCATAGTGGTAAATTTGAACCCTGCCGTGTGTAGGCAAGATGTGTTGATTGGATGATAGGACGAGTGTATTTGTATACAATGCTTAATAGTTTCCTTCTTTATTATCGATTTACTTTTCTTTACAGTTCGAAGTTCCCCCATTCAGGACGTTGACGGTGATACACGTAAGATATTAAACATGGGATCATAGATTAACATAAGAATAAAGGCGTGTTAAGATATGAAGCAGAAAACATCAGCGCCTTGATTGTTTTATATAACGTGTAAATGAATCTCGTTTGCGAGAAACAAATATTATTAATAATACAAATAATATATATTTGTAAATACTACTTCTAATACTACTACGACTATTACTTCCTCTACTGATATTACTGATAGTGATAGTAAAACTAATAGTAAAACTAATAGGCATTTGTACTGCGCCATCTATCTATAACTTCTATTCTGAGGCGCCCTTCTATCAAACATCCGAACTTTCCTAATCTCACGTAAGGCAAGTCAAGATGTTCCTGTAATAGATGCTCCAGTCTACGAACTCAACGTCGCATCAGTTTCCACAGATGTCTCCAAAAACCTTTCAAACTTGAAATATTACGCATCTTATAACATCACCATCATATTTGTAAATACAAGGTCTTAAAATGTTGATGGCCTCATAGAACTTTTTTTAAATTCAACTTTCTTCCAATTCTTTTTATACTCAAAACACGTCTACCTAATTTGCATATTACAAGTTCCGTTATTTCAAACTTATTTCCAGGACCCGCAAGTGTAGGTGCCTTACAAATGTCATCTTTAACCACACAAATTGAAGTGAGCTGGGAACTGTCATCTAGTCTATGCTCCCCTGACTACTATATCATACGCTACAGTCTCTATCAGAAGCTTGCCTGCCAATCACCAGAAACCACCCCAACAGAGTTTGAAGTGAACACCAACGCCAAACAATTCAATAATCTAGTGGAGTTGGAGCCTTACTCGCGATACAAGATCACAGTTACAGCTGTAAATGGTGCCGGGCAGAGTGAACTCACGATCGGCTATTCAGATACCAGGCCAGGACGTAAGTAATGAACTAATAAGCAAAATATCCTTTCCCCATAACAGTTTTAAGAAATGTACAAGGTGATGTATTATGTTATCCGTGTTGTCATTAAGCATATTGGATATAATATAAAGGAACAAAGTTGTTATTGGTCCAAAGCTCGTCACGTATTTTCGATTGCGAGTATCGTAATAAAAATATTTCCCTCCCGCTCATGAAAATATACCCCCTTGCTAAAATATAAGTCCAAATAATACTATATCATATACCTTACCAGTCAAAATCCGTATAAGATTCCATGCATATTATACGCATTGATTTGAAGAATAAAATATTCACGAATTTTGCTTTATTTAAATTTTGAATGGTACAGAATTGTTGCGATGTAAATCCCCTTCACCCTTCACGCTAGCCTTACTATTTTAGCGAATAACACGTCAAGTTTAAACGGATTAGGTACAGACCTTCTCTTATATTTCTGCTTCACTTTAGCACCGTCCAACATTACAAATGTCAGGGTTAATCCAGAAAGAACGTCTCCAACACGATTAGGATTCACCTGGCAACCTTTCAACTGTAGAAATGTGAATGGAGTCTTCTGGTACTACTTTACAAGAATCTACAAGGATGGTGATAGAAGTAATACACCGGCTGAGACTACATACTTGGAAGGTGACTTTTCAGACACATCAATAGAGTTCAATGCTCTTGAAGCATGCACGGTGTATGAACTGAGTATCAATGCCGGAAACCGTGATGTGTCAACTCTTGGAAATGCGTCTTATGCTATCGGTGTAACAGGAGTTACTTGTAAGTGTCAAATAATACGAAGTAAATACATGTTATAACCACCCGTATTCCATATTACCCTGGTTTGTGTACGCACTCTAAATATATGAATTTCGTTCAAAAACTGCGTAGTGAAAGATCGACATTTTTATCGTGATACCAAGGTTTCTTTACAACTAGGGTATAGTATACACTGTCGCTCATAAAGTTGGAATATTTTTTTGTTTTACCCCAATTTATGGAATTATTTCAAAAATGATTTAAAAATAATAGATCTAGATAATAGTATACATTCTCAGATTTTATTGAATAATAATTTGACAATGTGTGTTTTGCATGACTGCTAAAGCATGTGTATGCTACTATGCTTATCAACTAGGGGACCTACGCCCTTAAGTCATAAATGACAGTAACGAGGATTAATGCCCCACAAAAGGGCACTAATATAGCACATCGGCACGGTTTTGATCCCGGGGCCTCACAGTTGCTTTGTCACTGAACCATGACTGTACGCAGCGGGGGCTAGGGTAGGGGACAGTTTCCAAATGCAATAAATTTTCCATAATTTATTGCATTTTACCCCGGTTCCCAACATAAAAAAATCATCTGTGTGCCCATGCCTTGAGCCATAATGCATGTTATGTTTATTGGTCGGTGTAATGTTACTCTTTTAGAATACAAGCCGCTCTCCTAAGATTTACGCTATTTCGCAAGATTAAAAAATGAAAATATTCTCTCTATTTGTTTTGAATATAGTCACAAGTGCATCCGCTTATGCAACTGGGAATCAACTGAGAGTTCTTTGGAGTGTTCCGTCTCAATGCCATGTGGATTACTACAGGGTATCATATCAACTCATGTCACGTAAGGCATGTCAAGATGTTCCTGTAATAGATGCTCCAGTCTACGAACTCAACGTCACATCAAGTACCACATATGTCTCTGAATACCTTTCAGACTTGGAATATTACGCAACTTATAGCATCTCCATCATAGCTGTGATAAGGAGAGCGGAGAGTCTACCTATGAATGTTAGCGGAGACACACGAAATGGAGGTATGTAAACAATTTTGCTAATACTAGCGTTGGCAGGCGCGCCGGAAGCAGTTTGGGATTGGGAGGGGAGGGGGGGGGGGCAGAAGAAAAATCTGCATCACCACCACTCTTACGCGTTGCATGCAGGCCCCGTCGAACGTTTTTCAAAGTGGATTATTAACGATCAGGCAGAGCGTAAATTGGCGTGAGGTCCAAGGGCTGAGCCTCCAGGAGCTCAGGGTTTTTTAGGCATTAAAATTATGGTCAGATGAGCATACAGGGGACCGCCTTAGGGCCCTTGGTGGGGTCCGGGGCAGAGCCCCCGTAAGCTCTGGGGTTTTCGGCATTTAATTACGGTCAGATGAGCATCCAGGGCCCCGCCTTAGGGCCCTTGGTGGGGTCCAGAGGGCAGAGCCCCCGGAAGCTCGGGGGTTTTAGGTATTTAATTACGGTCAGATGAATATACAGGGTACCGCCTTAGGGCCCTTGGTGGGGTCCGGGAGCGGAGCCCCCATAAGCTCTGGGGTTTCAGGCATTTTATTACGGTCAGATGAGCTATTTTGATAACCTTAATTTGTGACATGGGCAGGTCACTTATATTTTCTCTCTCTCTTTCTTTCTTTTTCTCTGTAACAAACTTTTTTAAAAAGTGATGGGGGCTCGAGCCCCCGAGCCCGGCAATTCTGCAGACCCTGACATAAAGGCTTCTAAATAAGCATATTTTTCACTCGATTGTAATTTTGGGAATTTCTAATTTTCCAACAAACGCATGAAAAGGTATGACTTACAAACAAATTGAGAAAAAATACCGGAAAATCATGTAATTTCAGCAACATTTGTAAATCACTGGTATCGAATACAAAATAACGCCCCCCCCATCAGTACGCCAGCGATCAGGGGCTCATGAGCTTCTCACCCCTATAACCAAAAACAGACACGCTTTCCCATTCTCTCACAATATGTCCACGATATGCGCGTATCGCTATTATAAAAACCTCCATTGATAAATATAGGTAGCATGCGCAATGTTTAGGAAATTTAATTCCTGTTAACTTTCCTTTTCTTTGAATGGAATTTTATACGTCATTTAATTCAGGTTTTTATTATTGTTATGTCCTTTTGGGTTAAAAATACAAACCATCTTTACTCCTTTACTGCTTTTTTTTTTAGGGGGGGGGTGGGGGCGTGTTGGGGGGGGGGGCAAAAATGCGTTTTGCACCCCCCCCCACTTCCAGCGCCTATGCTTGAAGGGAGTGCAAAACACGCACAAGAGAAAGAGAAAGGGTATAAAGAGGAGATAAATATCATTATAATATAAAGTCTTAATTTGCATAACAAATTTTCATAATAAATATTTTTCGTATTAAGGTTTCAAATGCAAAATGTTCTAAAGCTTGGTCGCCTTGCTCACCGCGTATGTTCCTTCAGGTCCCGGAATTTCGCGCTCTTCTCTTAAGGGTTCAAGTTTTATTTTAATGCAAATTATCATCAGCCCCTTTTAAAAATATAAGACAAAGGGCAAATGCAAAACCATTAAAAGTGATTTGTAATTGTTAAACATTTGAAAGAAATATTGTCACTTTCCGTGATGATTAATTATATTTTTTTATTTGGTAAAGTTAATTACATCCAATTTTCCTGTTTTCTATTTATGCTTTGGATTTATATCTACTTACATTTGCTATGTTGTTAATTAACTATTCAACACTGATTTTCTTCACAGACCCCTCTGCTATCGAATCAGTGTCTTACACCTCTACTGCCAGCGCCTTGCACTTAGTGTGGGAGGAACCTTCTTGTGAAAGCCTACACGGTGTTTTTAATCGCTACGAATACGAACTCTATGATACTACTGGTGGAGGGAGAACTGTCCAGGATCGAACGCCCATACGAGGAAACAATGTTCAAATAACTGGTCTTGATGCTTGCACAGAATATCGCTTCAGGATAAGAGTAGTTACTACCCCACTGAGAAGGAGTGAATGGCATATGGAAATGGCAATGACTAATATATCAGGTTTGCTAAATGAGGTATAGGCCTAGCGCATAGAGACATACTGTGATATGCGGTATAATAATTTTAATTTTAATTCCGTTATACACATTGCACTATAGGCGATTGAAGAGTTATTGTTAATAATAGATAGTATGGGGGAACTGTATGTTTCAAATTCCATTTTAAATCGGTTTTTATATAGTCCATTTCTTGACGTTGCTCCAGAATAGGTAAATAGCTTTTACTGCTGTAAAGGCTTATAAAAAATACAAATCTAACATAAATTAGAAAAAATAAATTAATTGTAGTCAAAAGATAGAGATTAGATTTAGTGTAATCACAGTGTAATCAATTAGTTAATGGGAACTTGGATTAGCCCGAATGAAATGTTAATTCCTTCCTTTCTGTACATATATCAGCTCCTGGAATGCCAGTTATTACAGAGCTTACCCCGCATCAGGAAGACAGTGGCACTACTGGTCTAACAGTATCATGGCAACCTCCTTCCTCACCTCCATGCCAGCCTACACATTATGAAATCAAGTATTATGTGCTTCGAGGCGATATGTGTGAGGATACCCCGAGTGATCGTATAATGACTTCAGCAGGGACCGTCAATGGTTCAACTTTCACCTTCAATGTCCTGGAGTTGCGTCCTAACTCTGAGTACAGGGTGTTCGTGAGAGGCAGAACCAGTAGCGGTTATGGCGATTCGGATTCCCACTCAGCTACTACAGGATATTCATGTTAGTATTGTGTGTGGGTGTATGTGTGTGTATGTGTATGGACGGGTGGGGTGTGTGTTTATGATGTGAGTATGAGGGTGTGTGTGGGTGTCCCTCTGAATCAGCTGTAGGAGAAAACAGAGAGCTGACAGTACTGCTAGACCAATTTACAGCTCATGATCTACTTTATATGACGCTAGACTTTAAGTCAGTACTTCTTAAACACATCTTTTTAATTAACTGTAAATCGAAGCATATCAGGAGCTCTCGTAGCGCAGTAGAATACATACTTAATGTTGGATAGTTTCTGCGCTCTATAAATGCATTATTATTATCATTATTATTATTTATCTGACTAGTTTGAATACAAGGGGAACCATAATCCTAACTCAGTTGAACGAATATACTTTGAATAAGACCTTGCAAAATATCATTGGAGAATATGTTATATGAAATGAGCTGGCCTGGAAGTTCAGTTATGAAAAGGTATACTACAGGGGGGATTAGAGAATGTTTACGAAGACAAAATGTAGATTAGCTGTAAGGAAATGTAGATGAAGTACAAATTGAAGAATAAGAAATATGAATGAGTATGAGTTTTCCTCCTCTATTTTACAGATCCTACTGGTCCTCCAACTAGAAGCCAGTCAGCTTACACGAAGAAACGCAGTATTGTCTTCTATTGGGAAAAACCAGAATGCGGTTATCGGAATGGACCAATTTCAAGCTACGAAGTTATTCTCTCCAATTCTACAGGTAACCTAAAGATGAAATAGGGTGAAATAAGGTGGAATCCCAGAGATTGCTTGTTTGAAAGTAAAGTTTAAAATTCTATCTAAAAGGGTATCTGCCCTTGACATCATTCCTGGTAGTGCTTCTACAATTCATTAAATACATATAAATTGTACTCATTTCGCGTGTAAGAATGATAAAGAATTTCAAGGTAAAACCTTGACAGCATGGATCTCCTAGCTTGCTATTGCTGAATGAAAATATGTTCTAACAATGAATAACACCAAATAGATAAATATATTTGTTTATTATAAGCGCCAATCAATTTATTTATTTGCAATTATTTTTGGAAATAATAATAATAATAATAATAATGATACTAATTACATTTATAGGGCGCCTTATACGTGCGTTTCTAA